TGCATCGCAGAGTTGATGTTCACTTCAACCCATTACCTTGTAGTGACCTACTTTCATCAAGAGAACATGATAAGTTTAATGGAAACAAATATTACTATAACCAATTGTACCAGTGGGTATTTTACTGTACTTGTTTGTTTGAATATACTAAAGACATCCTTCCGTTGATTGCGACCTTGAACGAATTCGGTTACGCTCAGTAACCACACTTGTACTCATTTGGCACGATCTCGGTATTCTTTCAATACCACGAGATCGCCAACAAGTGCACATCAATTAGAGCCATCAACTGCCTTCTGGTATTTCGCTTATGGGTTAACTGGCACGTTTACTTCAAACGCCATCGCGTTATCCACATAGCTACTGAGTCCTGATAGCCACCTGCTTGTGCAATGGGGTGAAGTTTAAATTCACTTGGTGTCGTTTTACTTGTATCTTCCCATTGTTATTTAAGACTGCATGATCAGTCTCATGTCGGCATATGTGCATTATGTGTCTCGATCTAGCCTTAAGTTACAAGCTTTTTAAGCCTACTAACAATAGGAAGATACAGGTAAAACAACACCAAGTGAATTTAGTTGAAAACCAGTATGAAACAACTATTCATTCTTTTTACTATTTGTTAGTTTTCAGCTAAATTTAGTGAAGTCCAGAAAATAGCGTTTAAACAATAAGGACAGTGCTTTTTTACAATATTTCTGATATCAACAACTGATTTAATGTAATAATAACAACGAATTGTGCTCTCATAATATAAAATCCTTCGGACAATTTAGTGGTATTCAGTTGAAATTAACAACATGAAAAAATAAATCTAGATTGATCCTACAATGCTCGCATTTTAAGAAAACGACGGCGACTTCGTACATGTTATGAATTAACTTTGCTTTTTATGTATTTATTACATTAAAGACATAAGTGGTTGACCTTAACTGGAATTATTTCGGTTTGTTAAGTTTGTTTTACATTGTTCCTAGTCGCTCCTTTTCCACTCCTTTGTATATTGTTTTCTACTACTTATTTGCATTCAGTAAGTAGTTGTATTCCAAACAATGTTTACACTTATGTTGTAACGCAAGTTGTAGTGTAATATTCTGAAATATTCACATATACTTATAACGTTTATTGTACTTAACATTGTATTTGTCAGTATAATTACTGCACCTTAATCACTGTGACGGTTATCCACAGTTTCGTTCATTTGTTTAAACGCAGCAGTTTCCATATTGTTTTGCTCGTGGTTTGGGTTTTGGTTGTTCATAAACTGTTGCCTTTGTACTATCGTATGTTATAATTATTCTTTATGTTACTAGTACAGGAAGCCTTGTTTATTTTCATACTTGAAGGACACGTTTAAACACCCCAGACACCTCACAAGTTGTGTTTTGTAACTAAATTTTGTCTATTACTCAATAAAGAACCTCTATTGTAGACAAATCGTTGTTTTGGAACTTCGGTTCCACGCGTATCTCAATCGAGTGACCTAGACACTTCGATAGATCTAACACGGTTAAGGTTTGGAATTTTCTTAAAACCTGTTTTGTGGTACTCTTTTCTTAATTGTTTGTCACGCTAGTGACTAGCTTGTGTTTTTGTCGATTCCGTATGCAATGTGATAAGTGCAAAAGGTGCACTTGTTTAAGTCTCATCGGATACAAAATGCGCTTGACGTCTAGCTCCCATTGGCTTTGTATGTTTTGCTGTTAGGGTATGATATTTTTTATCCAAGAAGCAATTAGCCTTCTGGCGAAGAAAACTTTAAGATCCAGGGTGTAACGGAAAGAAAACGATGAAAATCCCTCTGCAGCTTCTTTGTTGAACAGTATTGTCATTTATTTGTTCCTTCCCCCTGTTGTGTATTTTACCCTTTGTTCCGATCTCGTTTAACCATATCTTTTTGTTCTTCAGTCTTCCTCGTTTGAGCCTTTATTATGTGATTTCGATTAAAGACTTATCCTTTGTTACCTAAGTTATCATTGCATGTTGCCGGACCATTGACAGTAAGGTTGTGTTTGATTAAGCTCAAAATCACAGCGTGGTTCAGTGTGCGATTGTTAACCTCTTGAATGTCTGCTTGGGAGGATTGCTGGAATCCCTGCAGACAGATATTTGATCCCATCTTGTTGGGAATATTTTTATTGATCCATAGGTATCAAACCCTTTAGTATCAACTATCTCTTTCATTGTTTAGCGCGCTACTTTGCGTTAGAGAAACTTCTGACCGTATAGCACAGGCTGTACCGTTTGAGGTATTTTGTATTTTTGATGCAATTTGTTCTGTTTTCTTAATTAGAACCGTTTAAATTGAGCACAGAGTATGTGTTTTGATATAACATAATACGAGTATCTGAAAAACGCGTTATGAGCTATACAGAGGAACGTGGTCTGGTCTAATTGAATAAATTTTGGGTTCGTCAGTCCATTGTTCCAACAGACTATTGGTTTTTCGGTCGCTACACAGGGTTTTCGGGTAGTCAAGTTTTGCAAGCCAGATAGAACAGAGGATTCTCAAAACACCTAACATGTGTGTTACATAAACGCTTGTAATCTTATAAATAAAAAGTTTAAGCACAGTTTGATGGTGGATGAATTCAGTCCCAATACAATTGTTGTCACAGAAATATACCTCGTCGTGGATATAAACTATTCTCGAATAATTGCAGGATACATCTGAATTATAAGTGAATGGGCTATAAATTTCAAGGGAGGAGGCCTAGTATTATATATTAGAGATCATGTTGCTGCACAATAGTGGTACATTTGAGGTAACGTGTTGTAGAATTAAATCTAGACATGGGTTAGTGAGTATAGAAGCAACATACCGTACTCCACGCTGTCTTACTGACAACTTTTTCTTAAATTTCAGCTGTTCTTGGAGGCTAATTGTTGTCCTTTTGTTGGCGATTTCAACGCGCCACATTTCAACTAGATAGAACTTACAGCTTCAGGTTGTTGTACTAACAACCGCCTGCTGTTATTCAGTGTTCACTTGTATATTGTATCGCAGAACCGACACATATTGACTTGGAACCTGCATATGAGTTAAAAATGCTCAAAAAATACTTCAAGCAAAGTTTCTAGGTCATATAGATTCACAAAATCTATTAACTCTTAAGCATTCATGCTTCATTAGCCTACTAATTGATATCAAAGTTGATAATCAGGGAGAGCGGTACATTTCCAGGTGGCTACAGTTCTATGTATTATATCTGATCACTTAGCAATACGTAAAATAATCACTAATAAACATTTATTAACCACTAAAGATTATCCAATGTCATATTTCTCAAGTCCTCTGGTCTTGAGATAAAACCAAACCTTTGTGAACAAAAGAAATGTACTAAATCTTAGTATCTGTCTTGACTTTGCTTTATGATCATTACTTTTTATCCATAATACGATTCTTTTAAGCGTTAAATTTCAAGACAATCACGTTTCAAGATTACCAACCTGAACACGACCTTGGCCCTGAGTCAAACCAGTAACGTGTTAACTAGCACGGACAGCTTAGATTCAAATCTGAATCCTTACTGATACTTCTCGCCCAGCTCTGTCCTTTGAGTTCACAACACAATCTCGGCTTCCATTGTATCAACTATATATTTCAGACTTACATAATTTATATACAGGTAAACCAGACCACACCATACCGTAAAATGGAAAATAACAGTTACACAATTTCAAGCTATAAGCGTCCTGGAGTGTGGGAAACTGTAGCTAATAGATTTAGAATGACTTAGGAATAGTAGATCGTATAATAGTAGCCAATAAAAAAATGATAGCACATAATAACATATGTATAGTCTATACCTGGTAAAAAGTGGTTGCGAACACCATATCCAACTCTCCTCTTTGTGTGCGATTGGGATCACCAGTAACAACAGAAGACCTACAGGCGGAGATCCTAGCAAATGCAAGAACCGTAGAGAGATCACATTACTACCACTGCCGGGAAATGTTTTCAACAGTGTTGTTGAACTGGATGAAAGATTGATTAAACGCCCAACCTCGAGATCAGCAAGTCGGATTTCGTAAGGATAAGTCATACACAGACCATATCAGGACCTAATCATCCTGACGGGAGATCTAAATACCAAAGTCGGACTGGGCAACACTGGATATGGAGATATCATGGGACGACATAGACTTGGAGAGAGGAGCGAGAATGACGAGAGACTTTCAAATCTATGTGCGTTCAACAAAATGGATATAGGCAGCTTTATTTTCACCACAAACACATGCAGTGAGTAATGATCTTAAGACGACGGCCCATTGCCAGGAGGTCGCAGCCAAGGGATTTCGAACCCTCTGGGCTTTAAAAAGGACATTCACTAAGTTAGATACTACCATGTTCACCACAGTATACATATCATTAGTGATAACTAAGCTAGAGAACAGCGTTCAGGCTGCAAGCCCCTGTTTAAAAGGTGACTCGGACATACTAGAAAAAGTACAGAGGGCAGCTACCCGTGCAATTCCGGAACTCCGGGGTTTATCATACAAACAGCGGCTTGAAAAGCTGGACCTCTTTACTCTGTCTTATCGCAGACTAAGGAGAGATCTAATTTTGATGTACAGAATACTGAGAAACTATTTCAGACCCAACTTGTACTCTCTTTTACTTCCCACGAGATCGGGACATCTCAGACGACAAGAATGAACAAAATACCTGTGGCATACATGTTTTTACACCGCGTCATCAATACTTGGAACATGATGTCTAAAGCAGTGGTGTCCGCACCTCCAATTGACTCTTTCATGAGAAGATTGGACACTCACAGAAGCATACTACACAAATCTGAATCTGAACCTGATGAACAAATGAATTTTGTGCCGAAATCCAGGACCTGTTATTTGATTAGTCCATCCGTAAGTGATAACCTCACCAATATTATATATTGAATCGATCACTGTAAAGTACAAGTGCTCACATTGTGAACACTTCTTCTTGATACTTATTTTGAAATGCGATTGGTTCATTGACCTTCAACCGAAAATCCACTCAAGGTTCTTGGAGGTGAATTCAACTTTTAGCGGTGTAAAGCATTCGAAGGTCGGATTGGTCAGTAATAGTTATATCATTTTCTTGTTCCTTTTATCAAACTGTTTCAATTTCATGACTCCATGATTGCTAACTGCTTTTAATTGCTTACCTCATGGAGATTTATTGCATTTTTGTGAGCTTGTTATGTCGACTTGGATTTGCTTCATCAGCTCCTCTTGCACACGCTTCACTTGTACCCAAAGAAGCTTCAAGCTAGACAAAGACCACCACAAACATGTGTCAGAAACAGTGGCTATATCTTTTCACTTCAAATAATTTGAATACATTTGCTTAGGACTACTAATTCTGGTCACGTTTTTAAATATAGAATTCCTTACCTATAGTTAATCCAAGCAATATTTCCAAGTTCTTCATGAAAAGTCTTGCTACTTCCTGAATTGAATAATATTTCATTTTCAAACAATTAGAACTTCCTGTCACATTTGTGATTGAATAGTTAAATCCCACATAGAAACCAGAGTTGTTACTAGCTAGATACTATTGTTTACACATGGGTTTCACTGGTTGCAGCCCTTTAAGTGTATCTTAACATCTAACACTGTCAAACATAAGCAACTGACTAACTCCGACGATTAGTATTGGAGAAATTTAGCGAGAATTTGCGTACAGTGCCTTGAATTTTCATGAAACATTAAAAGCGTTCATTTCATTAGTTCTGAGAAAAAAATCATTCTGATTTCAGGATGTCTGACAAATTTCCCCATCAAGCTGAATGTTTAATTGAAATATTGACGCCTTCAAACTCTCACAAATGAAGCAACTTCCTCAGTGATATTCGTTTCCTCTAGTGATTTGTAATATTGTCTACACTTTTAAAACAATTTCATTTTATGAACTGTATTAACTTACCATTCATTTCGGATGCATTTCCTCCTAACGAAGTAATTACTTCTTTGTTGACGAATTCTTTCAGACGTCGGACAGAAAAGTACATAATGGCTTATAGGAAATTTGTTCTCGGTGAACAATAGAGCTTATAGATAGTGCAGATTTTTGCTACAGTACTGTCCGGTGTTGATATTTACTCTGTCTATAGGAAGTAATATGGTTGATCATTTTGATCTCTTGTAAAAGTATTCACAGACGTCATGACCAACTAAACTTGCATCATATTTTGCGTAGGCAGGATATCTATGTGAAATATGGTCTGATGCTAACGGGTGTTAGAGATGGTTGGAAGAGAATTAGGGGCGCTCAAGCCAAAACGTGGCATCATTGCTTGAAGTCACTAACCTCTAGTCTGAACCATGTTGGTAGATGCAGACTACTTGGTTGGGGTCCGCGTGACTTTCGTAACCTATGGTTGGAGACTCTTGGTGACATGGCTCAGAATCGATCGCAATGTCGTCGGTGCATACACTCCCTGTCTTCCCTTAAACTAAGTGATTAAAATCGCTTCATATCTTTATGAAGTAATTCTATATTCCGGTACTGTATCCTTATATGCAATCCTTCTCCTATATATTACCACCTTTAACCTAACCACTCCTATGAATCCGGTGTTCCTCTTGCTGTGCTAATGCGGTATGGCAACCTGGACCGATGCATATATTTGCCTGATCCTACGTTGTAGCTGACTGACTGACTGGATATGGTCTGATACTTAGGATATTCACAGGTTATCAATATTCGACCTTACCTTTCTTCATGTATAGTAACTTTTCGTATTAAGTGGTGTTGAAGTTAAACCTAATATCCTAGGTAAGTATAGAAAGTCGGTGAGTTAAGCTAACGTACCTGGGACGCGTTACATTTCCTCAGCAACTGTCTACCTCAATGGGCAATGCTAGATACCATGTGATTGTGATGAGATGTTAAAGGATCTCAAACCAAGGTGTGGCATTTGTCAATATCCAGACCTTATGTTAAAAACGACTGACTGACTTCATGATTTTCATTACTGATGGATTAGTTGACTGCTCATTCACGCAGTCATCAATGGTCGTTACCATTATAGGTTCTATGAATTAGATATTATGGTAAGTTTAGTTTCGCCTGCTTTCGATATATCGCTCTCCTCACATTGGTGTACCTTATCCAAGAGTTGGACGTGTTGAATTGGCACACAGTATCCAAATATATTTTTCGCATATGTTAAATTTTCTAAAAATCCTTGTTAAACATGTAAACACAACGATTACGATTGTTTAGGTGACAATCGTTAAGTGTAATAACTTTGTTTAAAAAAAGTTACATGATCGCTTATGTGTATTGCTTTTTACTGTTACTTGAAATTGTAACTAGTGTATTGTAGCATTAGTGTGTAAACACTTGAAATCAGTATTCTCTTTACCATAATCTCATTAAAAACATTGGTTTTAATTAGCTAAATCTTATCTTACATCTACAGGTTTCGTTTGTCTTTTGACAGTGAGTATCATAATGAATCGTGGTTTAACTGATGCCACTATAAAGTAATTTTTTGCTAAACTAGATAATTCTTAGGAATCATTTACAAGCAAAAGATTTAGTTGTATGTAATGAAATTTCTACATCGTTAGATGAATTTAAGTAGGTTTAATCCCTCTCCAAGATCATCTTTAGAAAATTCCTCACTCAACAAAAAAAATATCGTGAAGAGTTGGGTGGCTTATCTTATTGTGAATTAATCACCTTACGTGATGATCTCAAAACTGTTAGTCAACAAGTGTCTTCTTCAATATCCAGCCTCCGGCATACATCTACAGCAATTTCACGCTTAAAAACAGATGTATTAAAGGTGAGACAGTGTTCGCAATTTTTTCGAATAACTTTTTTTTACAAGGAAGAGAAAAATGCTGGCATAGCCCATAAAACATCTGAACATGGACTGAGTGTTAAAAATGATAATAATGAACTGACAAGGTATACAGTTATAAACAAATTATTCTAGATCTAGTTATTTTATGAAAAAGATCTCTGAATTTGATACAAGAATCCGATTGTATAAACATGAGTTAGAGGTATTTGAAGAGAATGTTTATTCTCAGCCATTGACTCCTATGACTCCACGAGGTAACTATTTTCTTGATAAAATTACATTTTTATATTACAGACCTTCTTAATATTCTGCATCTAATCGATCATGATTTTATCAATCTTGCTGCTCAGTTGTACACTACACATGAAAACATAAAGGTATGTTTGCAGTGTTTATTCTTGTTAGAGCAGTGAATTGTGTTATTCATAACTATTTACAGATTTGTCCTTTATCTCTAAAGGTGACTGCTAAGTTGTTTGTTAGTTTGGGGTTTATTGATAAGTGTAAAAGTCTTAACTAAAATATACAAAATTATAGTTATTTGTGGTTGAAGCCAAGTGATATAAAGCACTGGTTTATTTATCGAGATGTTTAGCCTTCAGCCTATTCGCCTTAGGTTTTAAATCCGCCTCATTTAGTTTGGTTTAGGTAGCAAAGTAATGTCGCTACGCTTTACGCAAATAGTTCAATGCCAAATATACAAGTATATATATTTACAAAAATTATGGTTGTTAGTTTTACCACGTTTTAATGTTTGGTTTTCTCATTTCTGTATAGGCAATAAAATCAAACTACTTAAAAAAGTATCGTATGTGTTATGGTTCAGCTCGCAATCCATTCGGCGATAATGATGACTTTCATTTCAAGAGTCAAATAGAAGTTGATAATTTATTTGGAACAGGATTAAGTAAGGGAAAAATCGGTTCATCATTCTCCACTCCATATGGTCCTTCTCCATTCCCAACATCAGAAACACCTACTACATCCAATTCAATCGGTAGTGTTGAGAAAACTTCAATTATTCCGTCGGCACCTTCTACTACAACTTCAAGCAGTGTATTGTCGAATCAGCAGTTTGGTATAGCTTCTTTCCAGCCTGGTATGTTCACGTACAGTAATTAATATTTCCTAATGATCAACGCTCGTATTAATGACCAGTGTATATTTTAAAAGATCTAATTTACCTAACTGTATATAGTCTAAGGTTGACCGAACACAGAAACTACCATATAACGATAAGTGTTTGTCAATAGGATTCTTATGATAGACGAAACTAGTTAGATATAACTATGGAAATGGTTATGTAAGACAACATCAATAACAAAGCTAGGTCAAGTGGTTCAGGATTAGCAAAGAATCACTCATTTTCAAAACGGATAATTTGAGGGTAGGTGCGGTTCACCCCTATGGTTTTAGACTACTCGACAACGAACAGCGAGATGGAGTTAACGGACAGATGCATAAGTATTAGTAACATCAGTAACAAAAAATTAGGCATCAACGATACGATTCGACATGGAATAGATTCCTAGAAGACAAAACAATTTTAAAGCTCAGGAAGGTGAAGTGGATGCTTCTGCATCATTATGACGAATCATGAATTGTGTTACCCAATATCTCTGTCAGTCACAACAAGTGACGCAACTGGATAACCTGGATTTTCACAAAGCAAAAACTTCCTTTTATGTCAACACAATTGTGTCTACAAATTAAGATGGGTCGATTGTGATGCCTTCTATGTTGAAGAGTCATCTATCTTGTGGAATCTTGACTCGGGCCAAAGAACATCTAAGGTACTTAAAGAAACCCCCTAATAATCCTGTAGAACTAAAAAGACTTCCAATTAAATCTGCAACAGCAATCCGTGCCATTTTCAATAACCATCAAGTCGATATCAAAGACACTAAAATAATACGAAAATGCTTTTTCAGCTACAAAGAAAGACAAGTAGCTGAAACTCCATATATTGTTTAATTCTACTGTCCTCAATAGAAAACAAGGCCTCAGTATCCATCCGACTTGGACCATTTATCCGAGCTACCTTGTTTAATTCTATCCACATCTCACACCATTATTATACACACAAATTCAGCTCCACCCGTTCGCACCACAATTATCACATTTTTTCATCCTTTAACATACGTACACACACACAAAAGTCCAAAAACGCTTCATATAAATAACCTTGACTGGAATTAGATTGACCTGGTCAGACCTGTTTTTGATTGATCGCACCAAGTATTCCTACTTTGTTCCTTTGAACTATTTAAACTTGGGTTAATTTAGTTTATTTCTTTATTCTCTGAAGAAGTGGCTCACACTGAGTCAGGAAATTCGAGTTTCCTACTCATTGGGATATTACAAATATATTACTTTTATTAATAACAATCTACCCAGTGTTCAATTTATTTGAAATTATCAAGTCAAACCTTAGTAATGACACCTATTGCAACATAATTGTTTGACATCGACTCACAGTCAGATATTCTTAAATACACCAATATCTAATCGTATCCAGGTTTACTCAAAACATAATTTCTATCTAGAATAAAATGTTTATCATAAAATTTACTCTGAAGTCTTAACAACTGTTTATTCAATTCTTGTAATTGTTCTGTGTCTGATAAATTTCTTGTTCTCCATTTTTCAGCATCCTCCGTACTTTCACAAATAAGTTCATTGACTGGTGGAGCTCCTGCTTTGAATTCAACTGTTACAACAACAGGTTTAGTCAAACCAGCATTCGGATTTCAATCACCATTAACTACTTCAACAACAAGTTCTGTTGGTAAAATTGGACTATAACTTCTAGTGTGAAAGAATTGGTTCCTTTTCTAAGATTTTGAATCAAAAGTCCATGTCAGGAAATTTTATCTATTTTAACGTGTTTAATAATGCATATTCCGATAGACATGTGTAATAAGTGTATATACATTTTTCTGTATCACTTATGTTAATTTATCGAAATGACTACGTATTTTTGTGCATTCGTTAAAAGAAATTGGGATAGTAAAAATAGTAGCACAATTCAAGATACTAAACCTTTGTGAATGTCGATTAATTCATACAATCCAAATGTAATGTTTTGCATCCCGTAACTTATAGGCAACTAGAAGCTATTAGTTTATGTTATATTCCTAAGATTATTGTTGTATTGAGACTTAAAATTTAGTATGTATAGTTCGTACTTAATAAATGAGTAATTATTACACTATACTATGTCGCAATTAATCATCGCTTAACAATATGAAAAGAATTGAACTATTTTAGAAAATAATAACCATACACTACAAATAAAAGCAATCTATTTTTTATATGTAGACAATTAATGTACAACAGGATTTAGAGGTTCAGCACGCAATTGTGAAAAATCAATTCGCCTGTCTAGATCTTCATCAAGTTCTCCGACTACAGCCCTGAAAAATAGCATAATACGAATAAATCTTACATTATATCAAGTTTCAACTTCAGAAATAGTAATTTTGTAACTAACGATGGCTTTATATCACATTGAACTTACACATTCTGTCCTCGAATAATAAATAAACCCAATGGGACTTGCTCAACACCTTCAGTTGGACTGAAAACTCTTTCATGACTATCTTTGATAACAAGATTGACGACATTATCAAATCCTTTTAATGTACCCTAGTAAATGAATAATTTTACTAAGATTAGCCAGAATGACAAGGACAGTAAACAAAATAATTCATCATCATTCATATAGAAATTCATGTATTATGTTATGATCCGTATATCGTTAATGAATAATAAAATGCTTTATTAGATTCACCAGGAAAATGTGGACGACGTTATATAAACGAAAAGATCATCATAGCTTGTCGGAATATTTATACAAGAATATATATAAATAGTAGATATTGACTGACGGGAGAATTTGATAAAGAAAGTGTACAAATTACTGATGCCGAAAAGAGATGAATCAGTCGATATTAAAAGAGGGTAGGTTTAACGACTAAGTATCACAGAAGATTCGGTTAGTTGTTATCAACGCAAAAGAAGGGAAAGATGACGTTAACTCTAAATCCGAGGGAGAGTATGAAACTCACACACTACAAACATGCTTTATATGAGTAATTTGAATTCCTCTGATCTTTGTATTTCATTGATAAAACTAAATATTAGTTTATTGATTCATACTCAGTCTTTCCTGGCATACTTGTCTGAACTACTAATTAACTGTTGTTGTGGTTGAGCTCGATCACTTGTATGTTATTTTAGTATAAACTAATTATTTAGTGTAGAACCATCTAGTATTTATAAATATGTTCTTGTATAAATATTCAGAGAATCTATACTAGTCTTTCGATTTATACAACCTCGGTTACACTATCTTTGTAAATTTAACAAATTCTTAATAGTTGAAACTGTTTTTGTAATTATTTAAATGACATGTATGTTGCAACTTGTTGTCTTTCTATCGCAATGAATTATTATTTCATTCACTCATAATCTAATTTTAATTATTCTAACTGTAAAAAAAATATTTCCTTCCTCATCCATTGATTGCCGCTTTGCTTTTGATCGTACATTTTCTCTTGTGTATACTAACACTTTCACGTTTGATTATTAATTTTTTTTGAACAATTTACTTAAATTGTTTCCATTAATTACTAGTATTCTAGCTTAGTATAACTATGTTACTACTTGTTCACTTATAGTTGATCTGGTTGGTTTATTCGAAATCAGAACTTTGTTTGACTTTTTTTTCTATGGCAAACGTGACTCAACTAAACTGAATATCTGGAAGCACTGGGCGGCCGTTTCGTCCTGTTGTGGGACTCCTCAGCAGTGTGCATCCACGACCTCGCCCCCTTGCGAGACTTGAACCCAGGACCTACTGGTTCCGCGCGCGAGCACTTAACCACTGGACCACTGATCCGGCATCCAATGTGGCGAGGTCGTGGATGCGCACTACTGAGGAGTCCCACAACAGGACGAAACGGCCGTCCAATGCTTTCAGGTTTTCCATGGTGATCTAGCTTCAACTGACTCATGACCTTAACCACTTAAATTGAACATATAAATACATGAAATTTAAAATACTCCACTTACCACAATAGTCCTTCCATCTGATGTTATAACATTTACCATTCCTGGTACATATAAAGAAAATAGTTAAAGAAAGTAGAATTTCCTAGATGATAGATATGCAATATTAATATTCTGTTTACTGATCCATTATAATTGATTGTATATACATTCTACGAACATAGAGTATACATGCAATATTTGCTGAATACCTTCAAAGTTATTGTAACGAAAGTAAGCGAAATTAGAAAATAACTTGAATGAAAGAAAAAACTAATATGCATAAATTACAAGATTTAGTGTACAGAAGGTAACTTTTATTGGCCATACAGTCGTTTTCAGCTGGAATTTTGAATTATCTAATCTGTTAAGAATCAACAGCTATGTTAAAACTATGAGCTGAGTTGAATGGTGGTTAGCAGCAAAATCCAGGACGCGCAATTCTTCTTATGCGGGACGTATCAGCTGGATATATCTGCATCCTAGAGTTGATGCTTACTTTGATCCTCAAATCCAGTACCGTTCACTTTGAACGTCACTTAGCTACTGAATGCAGATAGCCACTGGCTTGTGTAACGGATCCGGTTGCATTCTTTCATTTACCTAATTAAATAGATGTAGTAAGGTCCCTAAATGAAAAGCTAATGGATTTGAATTTATCAGATAGTTGGGGAAAAAACAACGTAGGCAAACCGACGTAGAATTGTACTTGTCTAATATGTGCATATTATTTCACATCAATATAGTGAAATTATATTCGCAAAGAGAAAGCGAATAAGATCAAACTGATGAAAAGAATAAAATAATGTGATTAAAAACAAAAATATGTAGCTAAGTGATGTAGACAAAAATCACTACGTCCTCCTCCTCCTACTACTACTGTGGTTGATTTGAACCAATAAGCACCAAAATTTTAACCGACAAGAAAAAGGATACGACCAACATATGCTTCTAACTCAGACGCCATAAATCAATACCTAGAAAATGCAATAAATAAAAATTATGAAATGATTGAGAAATCAAACAAAAATACATCAAGAAAAGTAAACAACAATAAAATATATTTAGCTTCCTCTGAAATGTGAAGGTCTTCACAGGTGGATCCTCCAAATCCACCAATCCGGTTAAAGTGCCCGACATTCGATCTCCACAATCCCATTCTCATTACCAACAACCCCGGTGTAAGAAGGCAGTGAGTAGAAGGGAAGGTTGACTCTCCCCACCCTCGACCGCACCAGGGAATTTGGGGCCCCAGTCCATGTTGTCGCATGATATCTTCATGTCCGGTGTTGTCCATTCCGACTTTGGCGTTTAGATCTCCCATTACGATGGTCAGGTCGTTTCCTGAACACTTCGCTATGATCGATTGCAGTCTCTCGTAGAGCTGATCTTTATCATCGTCATTGCTATCCTTGGTGGGTGTATAACACTGGATAACATTCATTGATTCCATCCTTTCTTGTTTTGAAAGATGCTTTGAGAATCCTGGATGCATCATATTCCCTTCTTATAAGTGCTTCACGTGATTCTATGGACAGCATCAGAGCAACTCCCTGAGTGTGTGAAGCATTTTCTTCTTCGTGACTCTCACGAATCTAAACTTTTATGTCCAGTTTAACTCCAATGACTTTCGCTGGTCCCTAGAACAACTAAGTTGTATCCCCTCATTTCCGTTGCTACTTGACTAGTCATTCTATTCTCCCACATTGTCGGGACATTTCACGGCCGTATTTCTATTGTTACTCTTGTTTTTAGATGGGACATAAGCCACTGCTAGCCACCATAGATCTCTGCTTGTAATATACACCTTGGATGAAAAACGTTGATCAAAACTCATAAGGATGATCAAATACTCAAGTCATGTAGAAACAAAAGAGACAGGACAGAGAGTGTATTCAGATAGATTAGCGGTAAAGGGTCAGTAGCAAGCTAATACATGACTCATTTAAGCCATAGTAATTAATATTAGGCCATATCGCAGAAAATCATTTTTCAAATGACAAGATTAACTGGCCTAATTAATACGCCCGTGGTTTAGTAATGGTTAACACTAAGATTTCAACCAACCTGTTGCAAGCTTGACACCTATTTCTGTTCGGACGACCGACCACTCTCATTTCAACATTCACATAAAACTTAAAATTCAGCAAACCTGTACCTCACAACCGAATTACTTTTATACACATGCTTGGACGAATAATTGGTCTCAGTAACATTCTAATCACTCCATACAATTATAAATTCATATTCCAAATCTACAACACCGACTCAGTTAAGTCAACACTTGTATGCATATACCTGAAACTAGGTATCGTAAAACAATAAAACCATGGATTTATCACTGTAGGATCAAACGAGAAATTCACCGTAAACTAATCATTCGCTCTAAATACTCTTCCTTTTTAAAACACAAGATAGTAAACGCACAATAAACACACAGTTCAACTGCTCTGTCAGTAGGTCATAAACAACCAAAAAGGATAACTCATAAATCTTCATTGATCCATGTTGTCATACCTCGCATCAACACACTTGGAAGAAGGAATTCCCAATATCATAAAAATAATGTCAACAAACATTCTCAAAATAGTCAGCAACAATCACATAAACATGTAGATAAAAACATATCAAAACAAGTACAGTTTACTTTCAAAACAATTGTATCTACAAATACAGATTATTGTGCACAACAATTCCAGCAAATAGCTACATTGCTTCCCCATATATCTAAATATATACATATATATGCATAAATACATTAACAAGGTTTCGCCACAGGACTTTCACGCAGCCAAGATTTATAGATCTTATAAAATCTATAAAATGAACGAACAGCATTTGGATAGACATGAAATCCACCAGTTTTTGATTCTTGAACAGGTGAACCATCTACCGTAATAAAGAAAAAATAAGGTAGAAATCATTATTAGTATGGATGCTTTTGGAGATTGTTCAAATTAGAAAATAGACAAAACATCACAAACTGATTTTAGATAAACAACAACCGTTGAAGATTAAACAGCATCTGACAGATACTTTCACAGTATGTGCCTCGTCAGTCAGTAGTCGACACTTGCAACCGACCCGCCAATTGAGGCTGGCACTTACACGTCTCACAACAAACATACTACCTTCCGACCACTATCGAGTTCTCATACATTCTTCTTCATTACCGATTTATGTCAATTCGTGACATCATGTGAATATCATTCAATCACATAATTATACCAATCTTTCACAGTAGTCGTACCTCACTAGTCACATATTCTCACTAAAACTTCGAAATTCTTTCACTAAATGTCCGAAGTCTTGCTACTATCAAGAAAAAAGTCATTTCAGAGTACCTTCGACCAAGATTAACAAAGTTATTAAAGAAAATCTATCACTAAAAACTGTTACTCATTTGAGCATGTTTCAATCTCTGAGCTGCATCGTATAGCATTAATTGTCCTTCTCAACAACATCATCGGCACATGCTTCGATAAAGAATCTTTCAAAACAAGAGAGGATGGAATCAATGAATGTTATCCAGTGTTATACACCCACCAAGGATAGCAATGACGATGATAAAGATCAGCTCTACCAGAGACTGCAATCGATCATAGCGAAGTGCTCAGGAAACGACCTGACCATCGTGATGGGAGATCTAAACGCCAAAGTCGGAATGGACAACACCGGACATGAAGATATCATGCGACAACATGGACTGGGGCCCCAAATTCCCTGGTGCGGTCGAGGGTGGGGAGAGTCAACCCTCCCTTCTACTCACTGCCTTCTTACACTGTAGTTGTTGGTAATGAGAATGGGATGGTGGAGACCGAATGTCGTGTACTTTAACCGGATTGGTGGATATGAGGGATCCACATAGAGAGTTGGAAAACCCTGATTCCATACCAATCGTCTGCATGGTCTCAAGGATCCTGAGGGAACAAAACGGCATATGAACCTACCGCCGGTCACTGCCTACCATGGAACTGCATCTCATCACGTCGCTCTACTACCCTGTGGATTAAACCTCTACATCAAAGGCTGATGATGTAGCCCTCTAGGAAAGCCACCTGCTTCAGTTTGGGCGCTCGTACAGTATTCCAGACCTCATGAAAATCGGATAATTTCTGCGGTGCATACGTACTTAGTGTCTCCTTTTACCAGTGTTTACGAGTTTAAATAAATCAATACCTGGACTGAGAGAAAGGAACGAGAATGGTGACAGGTTTTCAAATTTGTGTGCATTCAACAAACTGGTGATAGGTGGCACAATATTCAACAAAAATATACACGCAAAACTACATGGACCTCACCAGATCACAATACACAGAACCAGATAGATCAGATTTGCTTTACTAAAAAATGCAGAATTTCAATTAAAAAAAGTGAGAACCAAGAGAGGAGCTTACACAGACGGCTAGCAAATAACTGAGATTCAAGAACAGAGGAACAGATTAGTAGAACACTTCGTGAAACTCTTAAATTGACCAGCTCCATAGAATCCTTCGGATATCGAAGCAGCACACACAAACCTTCCTATAACCGTCGTTACACCAACGACGGAAGAAATCAACATAACCATCAGACAAATGAACATTGGGAAAGCACTGGGAGCTGACAATATACTAGCCGAAGCACTAAAATCAAACATAGAACCAACTGCAAACACGCTCCACGTTCTATTCAGGAAGATTTGGGAGGAAGAACAAGTGCCGATAGACTGGAAAGAAGGACACCTCATCAAGATACTAGAGAAAAAAGATCTGAGCAAAAGTGAGAACTACGGAGACACCACACTACTATCGGTACCAGGAAAGGTTTTCAAAAAAGTGTTGATGAACCGGATGGAAGATGCAGTAGACGCACGACTTCCAGATCAACAGGTCGGATTCCGTAAGGATCGACCGTGTACAAACCAAATAGCGACACTACGGAGCATTGTCTAACAGTCAATTGAATGGAACTCGTCACTATGCACAAACTTCCTTGATTATGAGAAAGTATTTGACAGTATGGATAGGAGAATATTATAGAAACTTATTCGAGATTGATCACCGCCCACTGATCAATCAATTGTAATACATCTCAGTCCTACAGGATATCAGTCGCGGCCCGGATAGCTCAGTGGTAATGTCTGTGACTGTAAAGCTGTGTGACATTGGATCGAGTCCGTCAGGACGCATTAGTTCCCTCAAGATTAAAGGTACACCTTGCTGATGAGTGCCAAACAACACGAAACTAAGGTCCAGGGTTTCCTGTGACTACATCCAACCACCATCTTAACAAACCAACTCCCAACTGAAGAGGAAATTAACAAAAGACTCTGTAGGTGGATAGGAAATACACTGCAAAATTCGTCAAACTGCATCACGAGGCAAGCGCCAACTTGGAATACTGAAAAGAAAAGGAAGATAGGAAGACTAAAGAACACACTGTGCTGGCAATGTGAAGCACACATCGAAAGAATGAATAGGAATTGGTAACAACTGGAAAGGATTGCCCAGGACAGAGTTCGAAGAAAAAATCTGATAGATGGTCTATGCTCCTCCACGAGCTGTAACTACGTAATGATCATGCATTGATAATAATTATTAAGGAAAATTTACAGTGACTTGGTCAAAGTTATTTCGCGTGGTCTTGATGATCGGTCGTTAAAAATGCAAATGTAAACAGCTAGATGTGAGTTTCCGCGAGTGTTTTAAAAGTCTCATAACTCTAAATAGCATGTTCAGCAAAGCGGATTCTGTGAGGACGGTCCACGGGTGAACTCTATGAAGCTCAGAAAGAGCCAAAGATATTCCATCCAATCAGCTTCTGGAAGAATATTCCAAAATCACTATGTGTAGCTCCCCTACTGGACAATGCTAATATCCCCTGTGTGCCGATTGGACAACTATAAAGATGATCAGTCAGTCAGCTACAACGTAGGACTAGGTACATATATGTATCGGTCCAAGTTGCCACACCTCATTAACGCAACAAGATGGATACCGGATTCATAAAAGTAGTTGATTCAGAGGTAGTAATATATAAAAGAAAGATTGAAATAAGGATATAGTACAGGACGAAAGAATTAGTTCGTAGAAAAAAATATATGAAGCGATTTCAATCTCATAGTTTAAGAGAAGACAAAGAGTGTATACACCGACGCCATTGTGATCGATCCTGAGCCATGTCACCCACAGTCTCCAACCATTGGTTACGATAGTCACACGGACCCCAAACAAGTAGTCTGCATCTACCAACATGGCTCAGACTAGCAGTTAGTGACTTCAAGCACTGATGCCACGTTTTGGCTTGGCCGCCTGCATATCAAGGATATAAGCTCTAGATATAAGATTCAAATCTCAAAGTTAATATAATCCTTCTACTAAAGATCTGTAGAAATCTTTCTCATCGATATTGAAATGAGAAAAAACCGCTAAATAAGTATCTGTAGCATGTGCATTCAACTAACCACTTCAAAGCAGGATGAAATGTGTGTCCTGAATTCCACAGATAGCCACAATACAAATATGCTAAATCTCCATACCTCACTAATTAAACTGATAATCCACAGTTTTCTGACTCAGATGTAAAGTATGTTGTTCAATTGAATTTAACCGTTATTCAGCTGAATTTGACACTCATGATTAACAAATTCCAATCAAAACTGGTAAAAATTCAATACTTATTACCAACAACGGGATAACAGAAACCCCCATAAGTTTGCAAACCATTGTTTTCATGTATATTCTATAAAATGAGTACACAATCGCATAACCAACTTACCTTTCGGAATTACACCATTCGCCAAAAGCTCTCGAAACAAACCAATATCTATATCAATAGATGCGATTACTCGGCGATCTAACATAAATCCATCGAAATGATTGGATACTTGGTTTCCATATACATCGCGTTTCGGTATGGCAGATTTTTTATCAGACAAATCATCTATATGAATTGGACACCTCATATATTCAAGAACAAATGCCTTCAACTCCCAATCAAATCCATGTGTTGATAGTAAATTACTGAAGAATGTGAAACTTGGTCTAACGATTTGTGAGTGGACATTTTGTTCACGAGATATACTGTTAGTCGCCAAATCAGTGGAAGATAGTGGTGTTGTAGCAGCAATCTCAAATCCACGTAGAAGTTGTTTAACTGACTCTTTTGTTTGACAACCTCGAGCTATGCAACCCCAAGTAATCTACATAACGGAAAAAATTTAACCATTAAGGAGCTTTTGTAAATTCAGTCCATCATAAGCCACCCTATTTATTTATTTGAACACAAAATATTGGTACAAGAGAGCGCCACTATGTATGCGCCACACAAAACAATAAGAATTCGAAGAGAATAAAAACAGAACAATAACGAAGAGGTTGGTGTAAGGTAGTGTAGAATAATAATAGTAATAATGAGGGAACGGAAAGGTACAATCAGAAGAAATCTTTCAGTTAAGGGAGACACAACCACTTTTTATGAAGAAAGTAAAAGAAGGTTACAGCAGGATCGACACTGGCTTCTATTCTGAGCCATATCTGATAACGTCTCTAGCCACTGTGTAGCACCATCTCTCAGACCCCAACCAGGGAGTCGTGAAGGACCGACAGAAGCCAGTCCTTTGCAGCTTTCTTTCATACCACGACACCATGTCATGCACTGACCACCTCTCCGCTTTTTCCAACCAGTCCCAGAGTCGGCAAATAATGCACGACGTGGAATTCTCTGGGACGACATTCGTACAACATGTCCAAGCCACCGAAGTCGGTGTTTCAAGATGGTAACACCAATTGAATTATCATCTCTGTGCCCCAACACACGATGCCGAACCTCTGCATTACTGACATGGTGTTGCCACTGAATGTCAGCAATCCTTCGGAGACAGCGATGATCGAACACAGAGAGTCGTCTCACGTCCTCAACTCGGAGAGGCCAGGTTTCACAAACATAGAGCAAAACTGCCCTCACCGACGCGTTGTAGATCCGACCTTATACAGGCAGACTAACATCACGAAGGCGCCAAAGATGGCTCAGATTGGCATAAGCCACTCTGGCTTTCACTATACGTGCATTGATCTCATCACTCACACCCCCACCAGCACTTATGCAGCTACCCAGATACACGAACTTCTCGACTACTTCTATTTGCTCACCATCCAGGATGAGTACAGGATTACAATCCTGACAGTCTTGTAGAAGTACTTTGCACTTCGAAGGTGCAAAGCACATACCATACCCACGGACACTGATTGCCAACTGATTAAGTGCAGATTGCATGCCTTGGGCATTATCGCACAGTAAGACAATATCATCCGCGTACTCAAGGTCGAGAAGTCTTTCTCCAGGCAACAGATCCACACCATCATTACTTACATTCATCAGAGCTGTTTCTAGAATGTCATCGATGGCAAAGTTGAAGAGGAGTGGTGAGATTGGGCAACCCTGCCTAACCCCACTGCTCGAATGGAACAATGGAGAAAGGTGGTTGTATGCTCTCACTCTCCCTGAGGTGTTTATATATAGGACCTTTAAGATGTTAATAAACTTCTCAGGCACACCCTTCTTCAATAGACAATCCCAGAGAACAGTCCTATCCAACGAATCGAAGGCAGCCCTGATGTTAAGTAACACTACGATTGTTGGAGTTTGATAAGTATAACGGTGTTCTAACATTTGGAGGAGGGTGAAGATATGATCAATACATCCTCGACCAGAACGAAACCCAGCCTGCTCCTCGCAAGTCAATCTTTCTCGGGTTTTGAACAACCTACGAAGTATGACGGAAGCCAATGGCTTGGACGCAATCGGAAGTAGACTTATCCCCCGATAGTTGTTACAGGAACGACGTGAATCCTTTTTAAAGATAGGGACAACTATCGATTCATTCCATGACGTTGGTACACTCTCTAGCTCCCAGACCTTTGTAAACAACGTCGTCAATTCCTTATTCAGAAAGTCACCACCATCTTTAAAAAGAGCCAGAGGTAAGTCATATGGGCCAGGTGATTTGTAACGCTTCAAAAGTTGGAGTTCCTTGCGGACTTCCGCCTCATTTGGTGGATCAGTCGTCGCCGGTCATAGAGGGCAGGACAGTTTGACCGACGTTGCCGGAGCATCAGGCCAGTTGAACTGCCGTTCGAAAAATTCTGCCCATCGTCCAAGACGTCGATGGATGTTAGTGATAGACATCCCATCATCCTCGCAGATTGTTTCACTCACACCAGACTTCTTGCTACCAGTGGCTCGGATGAGCTGGAAGAGCTTCCGGTTATTACCAGATGCAGCTGCTGCTTCCAGCTCATTAGCACGCTTCGACCACCAGGCTTCTCGGTCCTTACGCAAGCTTTGCCCAATTTCCCTACGTAACATCCTTCGTTTGTGGTCAAACTCACGGTCACCTGGAGTAGACCGACGGGCTTCGATGAGTTGTAAGGAACCTGAAGAAACCCAGTGCTTATAATCGGGACGTTTCACGAACCCACAACTGAATGTACCCGCCATTTTCATGGCGTCATGCAATTGCATCCAATGCTCATCTATACTTTTCGGTGGAATGGTAGCTAGCCTAGAAACTAGCTCGGTTCGATACTTACTAGCAACAGAAGTTGCAACCAGCTTGCTAATATTAATCCGTTGGTGGCTGTCATTTCGTTGTCCACCGAAAAGTAAGGTAAGATTGGCGCAGACCAGGTCATGGTCAGAGTCCAGATAGGTACTCCAAAAGGAGCGGCAGTCTTGTACACAACCACGCCAGCGGAAGCTGATCGCGCTGTAGCTCTTAACTCCGCCTGTAGCTCTTATAGGGTTACTGCCGGTCCCAAGCCCGGGTAAAGGAGGAGGGTTGGGCATGGGGTTAGCGTCCCCATCCCGTAGAAAACTAACTCGCTAAAAAAACGCTAACCAGAAAAAATAATCCAAACCATTTAAACTCTGCCCTGGGAGTTAGAAGGTCTTCATTTAGAAGAATTATGACGCTTCATGGTGAAAGCCGAGTTCCTTCGGAAGCCACGAGGCCGATGCCCCTTCTAACAACCAGAGCAAAAATTTTTATAGGTACATGGAACGTTCGAACAATGTGGGAAACCGGGAAGACCAGTCAAATAGCATTGGAAATGAGGAGATACAACTTAGCCGTACTGGGAATCAGCGAAACCCACTGGACCCAAGCTGGACAGAAAAGGCTAGCTACGGGAGAGATGCTGCTATACTCCGTTCACGAAGAGGACAATGCTCCACACACTCAGGGAGTCGCTCTTATGCTGTCCAAATTAGCACGAAATGCACTTGTAGGATGGGAATCCCACGGATCCAGAATCACCAAAGCATCATTCAAAACAAAGAAGGAGGGGATCTTAATGAATATTATCCAATGTTATGCACCCACAAATGATAGCAACGACGACATTAAAGATCAGTTCTACGAGCGGCTGCAGTCAGTTATTGAGAAATGCCCAAGGAAGGACCTAACTATTCTGATGGGAGATCTAAATGCCAAAGTCGGAATAGACAACACTGGATATGAAGATATTATGGGACGACATGGACTGGGAGAAAGAAACGAAAATGGAGAAAGATTTGCAAATCTATGTGCATTCAACAAATTGGTCATAGGAGGCACAATATTTCCACACAAGCGTATACACAAGGCTACATGGATCTCACCGGACCACACTACAGAGAACCAAATAGATCATATTTGCATCAACAAAAAATTCAGAAGGACAATGGAAGATGTGAGAACCAGGAGAGGTGCTGACGTAGCTTCAGATCACCACCTAGTTGTGGCCAATTTAAAACTGAAGCTAAAAAAGAACTGGACAAGTGGACAAACAGCAATACAAAGGTTCAATACAGCCTTCCTTCGAGATACTGACAAACTCAATGAATTCAAGATAGCTCTCAACAACAGGTTCCAAGCCTTACAAGATCTACTGAAAGAGGAAGAAACTAGTATGGAGGACAACTGGAAAGGCATCAAGGAAGCATTGACTTCAACGTGTCAAGAGGTTCTGGGTCCAAAGAAATACCATCATAAGGAATGGATCTCTACAGAAACACTGGACAAGATCAAAGAAAGGAAGAACAAGAAGGCAGCAATAAACAACAGCCGAACACGAGCAGAGAAAGCCCAAGCACAAGCTGAATACATAGAAGCAAACAAACAAGTGAAGAGGAGCATTAGAGCCGACAAGAAGAAATATGTGGAAGAACTAGCAACGACGGCAGAAAAAGCTGCTAGAGAAGGAAATATGAAACAGCTTTACGATACAACGAAGAAACTAGCAGGAAAATACTGTAAACCAGAGAGACCGGTCAAAGACAAAGAAGGCAAGCCAATCATCGAAATTCAACAACAGCGGAACAGATGGGTAGAATACTTCGAGGAACTCCTGAATAGGCCGGCTCCAATGAATCCACCGGACATCGAAGCGGCACACACAGATCTTCCCATAGACGTCAACCCACCAACGAAGGAAGAAATCAGAATGGCCGTCAGACAAATCAAGAACGGGAAAGCAGCGGGTCCGGACAACATACCAGCTGAAGCACTGAAGTCAGACATCGAAGCAACTACAAACATGCTTTATCTTCTATTCAAAAAGATTTGGGAGGAGGAACAAGTGCCGATGGACTGGAAAGAAGGGCACCTCGTCAAGATTCCAAAGAAAGGAGATCTGAGCAAATGTGAAAACTATAGAGGCATTACACTGCTGTCAATACCAGGGAAGGTCTTCAACAGAGTGTTGCTGAACCGGATGAAAGATGCAGTAGACGCCCAACTTCGAGATCAACAAGCTGGATTCCGTAAGGATCGATCATGCACAGACCAAATTGCAACACTACGGATCATCGTCGAACAATCAGTTGAGTGGAACTCATCACTATACATCAACTTCATTGATTACGAAAAGGCATTTGACAGTGTGGATAGGAGGACGTTATGGAAACTTCTTCGACACTACGGAGTTCCTGAGAAGATTGTCAACATTATCCGGAACTCATACGACGGACTACAGTGCAAAGTCGTGCATGGAGGACAGCTGACAGATGCATTCCAAGTAAGGACCGGAGTCAGACAAGGCTGTTTACTCTCTCCCTTCCTCTTTCTTCTGGTGGTCGACTGGATTATGAAGACCTCGACATCTGAAGGAAAACACGGAATTCAATGGACAGCTCAGAATCAATTAGACGATTTGGACTTCGCAGATGACCTAGCACTCCTATCACGTACACACGAACAGATGCAGATGAAGACAGTCAGTGTAGCAGCAGTCTCTGCATCAGTAGGCCTCAGCATACACAAAGGGAAAACCAAAGTCCTCAAATTCAAAGCGGAGAACAACAACCCAATCACTCTTGATGGCGAAACTCTGGAAAATGTAGAGTCCTTCACATACCTAGGAAGCATCATCGATGAACAAGGAGGTTCAGATGCAGACGTAAAGGCAAGGATTGGCAAAGCAAGGACAGCATTCCTACAGTTAAAGAACATATGGAACTCAAAACAACTTTCAACCAATATCAAAGTGAGAATCTTCAATACCAACGTCAAGGCAGTTCTACTGTACGGAGCTGAAACTTGGAGAACTACAACAACAACCATCAAGAAGGTACAAGTATTTATAAATAGTTGTCTACGCAAGATACTCAACATCCATTGGCTGGATACCATCAGCAATAGCCTTCTGTGGGAGAGAACAAACCAACTTCCAGCTGAAGAAGAAATTAGGAAAAGACGATGGAAATGGATAGGACATACATTACGCAAATCGTCAAACTGCATCACGAGACAAGCCCTAACTTGGAATCCTGAAGGGAAGCGAAAAAGAGGAAGGCCAAAGAACACATTGCGTCGGATAATAGAAGCAGATATGAAAACGATGAATTACAACTGGACGCAGCTAGAAAGGATTGCCCAGGACAGGGTTGGATGGAGAATGCTGGTGAGCGGCCTATGCTCCTTCACGAGGAGTAACAGGCGTAAGTAAGTAAGTAAGTAAGTACGATTGTTGGAGTTTGATAAGTATAACGGTGTTCTAACATTTGGAGGAGGGTGAAGATATGATCAATACATCCTCGACCAGAACAAAACCCAGCCTGCTCCTCACGAGTCAATCTTTCTCGGGTTTTGAACAACCTACGAAGTATGACGGAAGCCAATGGCTTGGACGCAATCGGAAGTAGACTTATCCCCCGATAGTTGTTACAGGAACGACGTGAATCCTTTTTAAAGATAGGGACAACTATCGATTCATTCCATGACGTTGGTACACTCTCTAGCTCCCAGACCTTTGTAAACAACGTCGTCAATTCCTTATTCAGAAAGTCACCACCATCTTTAAAAAGAGCCAGAGGTAAGTCATATGGGCCAGGTGATTTGTAACGCTTCAAGAGTTGGAGTTCCTTGCGGACTTCCGCCTCATTTGGTGGATCAGTCGTCGCCGGTCATAGAGGGCAGGACAGTTTGACCGACGTTGCCGAGGCATCAGGCCAGTTGAACTGCCGTTCGAAAAATTCTGCCCATCGTCCAAGACGTCGATGGATGTTAGTGATAGACATCCCATCATCCTCACAGATTGTTTCGCTCACACCAGACTTCTTGCTGCCAGTAGGTCGGATGAATTGGAAGAGCTTCCGGTTATTACCAGATGCAGCTGCTGCTTCCAGCTCATTAGCACGCTTCGACCACCAGGCTTCTTGGTCCTTACGCAAGCTTTGCCCAATTTCCTTACGTAACATCCTTCGTTTGTGGTCAAACTCACGGTCACCTGGAGTAGACCGACGGGCTTCGATGAGTTGTAAGGAACCTGAAGAAACCCAGTGCTTATAATCGGGACGTTTCACGAACCCACAACTGAATGTACCCGCCATTTTCATAGCGTCATGCAATTGCATCCAATGCTCATCTATACTTTTCGGTGGAATGGTAGCTAGCCTAGAAACTAGCTTGGTTCGATACTTACTAGCAACAGAAGTTGCAACCAGCTTGCTAATATTAATCCGTTGGTGGCGGTCACTTCGTTGTCCACCGAAAAGTAAGGTAAGATTGGCGCAGACCAGGTCATGGTCAGAGTCCAGATAGGTACTCCAAAAGGAGCGACAGTCTTGTACACAACCACGCCAGCGGAAGCTGATCGCGATGTGATCAATCTGAGTCCAGGCTTGGGATGCAGAGGGAGGACGCCAGGTGGCACATCGGCGATGACTGTGCCGAAAGTTAGTGCTAGCCAGAAACGGGTTGTGATCTGTGCACAGTTGCAGTAGACGGTCCCCGTTATCTGACCTGAGACCAACGAGTCCCCATCGGCCACCTACACAACTCTCTTCTGTGCCTAGACGCCCGACCTCAGCATTCAAGTCTCCGGCTAGTACTACAATATCTGTCGAACGCACTTTCTGGAGAAGAACAGATAACTGGTGGTAAAACTCATCCTTGATTGCATCCGCGCTGCAATCTGTCGAAGCATAGGCGAATATGACGAAAAGACAACGTTTCTCACGCCGATTTCTTCTCACTTTGATGGAACTTTCTAATCTAACAGCACACAACCGACTGTTAATGGGGATCCAACCAATTAGTGCTGCCTCAGCTCTAGCGCTTAGTGCGATACCAGCGCCAGCAAGACCAGACGAAGATGCCACAGGGTCCCCGGATAAGCGCACATAGAACAAGCTTCTCGAAGCGACAGATGGAGAGCGAATTTGTAGTACTTCACCAGAGTTTTGAATACGGGTCTCGGATAGACAGCAGACATCGATATTAAGACTTTCCAAAGACATAGCCAGCCCAATCTGTTATCCAGCCTGCATAAGTGTGCGAACGTTGAAGGCAGCCAGTTTGAATGGTGCACGTGGTTTCAGAAAAACTGCTTCAGTACTAATATTCAGTGGTAACATACAATCCTCAAACGGACAGTGACTCGAGAACGTTTAGATAGAGTCGAATTTCCAACAAAGACGAGGGTGAATAGTGTGGTAAATAATAATAATAATAATTTGATCGTTAGCTGAAACAAGTAAAGTAGTTTCCATAATTATAGGCAGTTCATCATATTTGCGTGTGGGCTGTGATACTGCTCGGGTGCCTTTGACCCAAAAATCTAACCCACAAGGCAGTGGAGCATCGTAAGGAGATGCAATCCCATGGGAGCCGATGACCACCGATTGGTTCATACGCCATTTGTTCTCTCAGGATACTGGAGTGCATGTGCACCATTGGTTTGGGATCCGGTTAAAGCGCCGAACATTAGCTTTTCGTCCTCTCATTTTCGTAAACAACAGTAATGCCACAAGAAGGCAGTGAGTAGGACATCCTTGGCAGAGGCCGCATACGCGTGGCCGTGTGAGAGCATTTCGAGAGGGAGTGCGGGCCCACCCCACTCTCAGCCATACCAGGGCATTTGTGGACAAGCCACCCTTTAATAACCATCTAGCTTTCTTTCAACTTACTCTTACGTCAGACAACACTATATTAGACCATGCATTGATTAAAGGCGATACGATGCTAATTATACTAATACATTTCTGATAAAACACTTGTAAAGCCATGACTCAGTGATTCAAGAACTAACCTTCTACCGATAAGACGCAGGTTCGAAGACTGAACCACCACCCAATTCCGTTTGGTCGCATCGCCGGTGTCATGAGTCTAAACACAAACAGTGTGTCTTCACGTGCAACTAAAATGTATCTTCACAAACAAGCTACGAGATTACATTTGCACCTTCTCGTCAAACTACAACCCACCACAATTTCCTACATTACAAATGATAAGATCAAAATAAAAAACACAAATATACACAAACAGGAAATAAAACAATGAACGACAAGCAAACCTACTTGGTCAGGAATTAACCCTTTACGAGTCATATCTGCTAATAAATGATTAGCATTCAAACCAGATGACGTTCTACGATGAATAAAAGAATTGTATAGTGCAGTATCAGCACTTAGTTTAAACTTTGAAAGTAAATTTAAAACTTCTGTTTCCCAAGTATCAAAAGTATCTTTTGTGTAACACTGATCAGATTTCACTGGTGGTGGCAGCAAACGAACGGTGTGTGCAAAAAAATTGTTATTCGGTTTCAATTTGAAATGATTTACAATAGTATCCAGGAGACCATACAATCCACCAACGAGAGCAAGACGTTGCCAAGGATACATACATTGGTTTTTTGGTCCACAAATCTAAAATTCGATAGTAAGAAACAGGAACTTTAAAATATTTATAAAAATTGTTCATTCAGAATTTTACTGAAATTAACTTAAAAAATCATGTGATTGAGTGATCAGCATCATCAATTAGCTAACATCAAATGCTTTAAATAAATGCCTATTAATATAGGTAACTTCAGCTGGAGCATCTCCGAGGGCAACTGCCGGTCCCAAACCCGGATAAAGGAGGAGGGTTGGGCATGGGGTTTGCGACCCTATCCCGTAGAAAACTAACTCGCTAAAAAAACGATAACCAGAAAAAAACTATTCAAACCTTTTAAACTCTGCCATGGGAGTTAAGTCTTCATTTAGAAGAGTTATCCTTGGGATCAAAGCAACACGTTGGACCGCAAGTTGGACAACAACGACCAGCTTCAGGGAAGCTTCTGTTATACTCCGGCCATGAAGAAGAAAATGCCCCACATACACAAGGAGTTGCATTGATGCTGTCCAAACAAGCGCAAAATGCGCTTGTAGGATGGGAATCTCATGGATCAAGGATCATCAAAGCCTCGTTCAAAACAAAGAAAGAGGACATTACAATGAACGTCATCCAATGCTATGCGCCTACCAACGATTACAATGAAGACGCTAAAGATCAATTCTACAATAGACTGCAGTCAATCATCGAGAAGTGCCAAACAAAGGACCTGACCATTCTGATGGGAGATTTCAATGCCTAGGTTAGAACGGACAACACCGGATATGAAGACATCATGGGACGACAAGGACTGGGAGAAAGAAACGAAAATGGTGAGAGATTTGCAAACCTATGTGCCTTCAATAAACTGGTCATAGGCGGCACCATATTCCCACATAAACGCATTCACAAAACCACATGGACTTCACCGGATCACACTACACAAAACCAAATCGAACATATCTGCATCAACAAAACGTTCAGGAGGACTATAGAGGACGTGAGAACCAAGAGAGGAGCCGATATAGCATCAGATCATCACTTGCTGGTCGCCAAGATGAAATTGAAACTCAAGAAGCACTGGACAATGGGGCGGACAATATCACAGAAGTTCAATACGGCCTTTCTTCAGGATACTAACAAACTCAACAAATTCAAGATAGTCCTCAGCAACAAGTTCCAGGCCTTTCATGATCTACTCAATGGAGAAGGAACTACTGTGGAGAGCAACTGGAAGGGGATCAAAGAGGCAATCACTTCACCATGTCATGAGGTCCTGGGTCACAAGAAGCACCATCACAAATAATGGATCACTGTCGATACACTGGATAAGATTCAAGAAAGAAGGAACAAGAAGGCAGCAATCAATACCAGTCGAACAAGAGCAGAAAAAGCCAAGGCACAAGCTGAATACACAGAAGTCAACAAACAAGTAAAGAGGAGCATCAGAACCGACAAACGTAAATATGTGGAAGATCTAGCAATGAAGGCGGAAAAGGCTGCAAGAGAAGAAAACGTGAGACAACTGTATGACACGACAAAGAAACTCTCTTGAAATCGCCGTAAACCTGAACGACCAGTGAAAAGTAGGGAAGGCAAGGTAATCAACAACATTGAAGAACAACGAAACAGGTGGATAGAACACTTCAAAGAACTCTTGAATCGACCAACCCCACTGAACCCACCCAATACAGAAGCAACACCCACGGACCTCCCAATCAACGTTGGCCCACCAACAATTGAAAATATCAGCAAGGTCATCAGACAAATCAAGAGTGGCAAAGCAGCAGGACCAGACAACATTCCAGCAGAGGCACTAAAAGCAGACGTAGTGGCAACTGCAAGGATACTCCACATTCCCTTCAATAAGATTTGGGATGAGGAACAAGTACCAAAAGACTGGAAAGAAGGACTTCTGATCAAAATACCGAAGAAAGGCGATCTCAGCAACTGTGTTAACTACAGGGGTATCACTCTTCTTTCAATACCGGAAAAAGTCTTCAACAGAGTATTGTTAAATAGGATGAAGGACTGCGTAGACGCCCAACTTCGTGACCAACAGGCAGGATTCCGTAAGGATAGATCGTGTACAGACCAAATAGCAACTCTATGGATCATTGTGGAACAATCAATTGAATGGAAATCATCACTCTACATCAACTTCATTGACTACGAAAAGGCATTTGATAGCGTGGACAGAACAACACTATGGAAGCTTCTTCGACACTACGGCGTGCCTCAGAAGATAGTCAATATCATACAGAGTTCATATGATGGATTACACTGCAAAATCGTGCATGGAGGACAGTTGACAAAGTCGTTCGAAGTGAAGACCGGTGTTAGGCAATGTTGCTTACTCTCACCCTTTCTCTTTCTCCTGGTGATCGACTGGATCATGAAGACGTCAACATCTGAAGGGAAGCACGGGATACAATGGACATCCAGGATGCAGTTGGACGATCTGGCCCTTCTATCCCGAACGCAACAACAAATGCAGGAGAAGACGAACAGTGTAGCAGCAGCCTCAGCAGCAGTAGGTCTCAATATACACAAAGGGAAGAGCAAGATTCTGCGATACAACACAGCATGCACCGATCCAATCACAATTGACGGAGAAGATTTGGAAGATGTATAAACCTTCACATATTTGGGCAGCATCATTGATGAACAGGGTAGATCTGGTTCAGATGTGAAGGCGCGGATCGGCAAAGCAAGAGCAGCATATTTACAACTGAGGAACATCTGCAACTCAAAACAACTGTCTGTCAACCAGCACCAATATCGGAATTTTCAATACAAATGTCAAGACAGTTCTACTGTATGGGGCGGAAACCTGGACAACTACGAAAGCCATCATCCAGAACATACAGGTGTTCATTAACAGTTGTCTACGAAAAATACTTCGGATCCGTTGGCCGGACACTATTAGCAACAACCTACCATGGGAAAGAACAAACCAGATCCCAGCGGAAGAAGAAATCAAGAAGAAGCGTTGGAATTGGATAGGACACACATTGAGGAAAATATCCAACTGCGTCACAAGACAAGCCCTCACATGGAATCCTCAAGGCCAAAGGAGGAGTAGAGGAAGACCAAAGAACACATTGCGCCGAGAAATGGAGATAGACATGAAAAAGATGAACAAGAATTGGATGGAATTAGAAAAGAAGGCCCAGGACAGAGTGGGTTGGAGAATGCTGGTCGTCGGCCTATGCTCCATTCGGAGTAACAGGCGTAAGTAAATAAGTATTAACATAGGCATTCAACCTATTCGTAAGGGTTTGTATTATTTCGATGTTGAAACTGAATTTGATCACCATTTATCGGTAAATACGCATTTAAGTAAATGTATAAGAGCAGCTTTTCTGTAACGGGGTTCACAATATTTCGATTGTGGATAACTGTGGAATTCGAGACAAATATCTTGTTCCATTCACGTTTCAGTTTGTCATACCAGTACAGCAGTGTGGCGAGTTTCACACTGTAACTTGCCATCGTTCAAATGTAAATAAGTATTATTTTTCGATGTTCACGAACTGTTGGAATGAATCATACTGATGGATAGAGATCATATGGTCGGGATTCACACCATTGGTCACAATCGCGCAAACGAATTCACTTTGTATTTTACTTAACAGTTCCAGTGTTCCTTCATATGTACGTTCCCATTATGTCTTTGCAAACCACATTCACAATATTCAGTCTGTCTCATTGTCATTATTGCCAGTGTTTCGGCAACCTTGCTACTCATTTAATTAGTATCATCTCGTCCTGTTGATACAGTATGCTAATCCGGGCTACATTACCATTGTGACATACTTTATGTTAATTATATCAGACTTGAGTGGTGGACTAGTGGTTGAGTCGTGCGACAATCGACCACAAAGTCTCACATGCAAACACCGCTCTATCTCAGTCAATTAATTAATCCGCTACTACGTACAGTCAGACACATATATGCATTGGTCCAAGTTGCCACACCTCATCAGCATAACAAAATGAACACCAAATTCATCGAAGTAGTCACTTCAATGGTAGTAATAAATAAAAGAAAGATTATATATAAGCATACAACACAGGGAGAGAGAATTAGTTCGTAGACAGAAAAGTATAAAGCGATTTTAATCACTTAGTTTAGGGGAAGACAAAGAGTGTATACACCGACGCCATTGTGATCGATTCAGGGCCATGTCACCCACAGTCTTCAACCATTGGTTACGATAGTCACGCGGACCCCAAACAAGTAGTCTGCATCCACCAACATGGCTCAAACTAGAAGTTAGTGACTTCAAGCACTGATGTCACGTTTTGGTTTGGCCGTCCCTAACTCTCTCCCATTCATCTCCAATACTGGTGAGCATTACGCGTCGTAGTGATCGGTGCTCAGGCATACGCAACATGTGACCCAACCATCTCACTCGATGAAGATTTACAACCTCATCAACTGATTTACCATCATTACCTAATACCCTGCGTCTAACCTCACTATTACTTACCTGGTTTAATTATCGAGTAATATTTAATATGATATATATATATACAAATAATTCTGTGTGCTGGGACCTTGTAAGTCTTTTCTCTTGACTGCGTTGACGTGAAGAAACCAGCTACACTTTCCCTACTATCGACGTATCATGTTTCAAAGCCACTAATCTTTGGCATTCGGTAATTACTTCCTGTAGGGTCATGCTCAGATAATGTTCAAGTTTGCTTCAGATTCTCGTTAAGATGTCGGCATCCTTGGGTGAACGCAGGCTACAGACAAATACCAGGCATTTAAACTGGTCTTTTGGCGTGGAAGATAACTAGAATCTTTTACATTATCGTTTCACGACCCCTTCATGTTTCACCCAGTCATCTCATGGTCCTTTCGTTATATTAAAACACCGGAAACGGATAATAAATAAAGATGGATATTCTGCAAAGATTTGAAACAGGGTTCTATTTGTTTCACCGAAAATAAAAATCATTGGATTCTTCGCAAGAATAAAGTTGCTGAAGTGTTTACGTTCCGTCGTCCCACGATTTCTTTAAAACATTCTGGCTTTTGAAGTGTATTTCAGTCTGAAGAGATCAATGTGGTTCGAGTATCCAGATGTGGTACAAAAATCTGGCACATATGTCTCATGCTCTACAATCATTATGACTGACTGACTATCAATCTGTCTAACTACTTTCGATACAGTCTATTTTCACAAGTATCTCCTTCCGTCACATTTCCAAATTCAACAATCACAAATCGCAATAAATATATCCCCCTACTCAGCCAATCATATCATTCATCAAAAATAACTTAAACGGATTCTGATACTCTACAATTCAACAACTTCCTAAACTGTACACAAAAGTTTTATGGAAATTCAACGTACTACTATTGGTTTATCAGTAGGCAAAAGAAGATTTATTGGGCTACGAAGTGCTAACATTGTATCATTCCAATCAAACTGAAGCGATTCCGGTGTTTCATCAATCGTTGATTCATTACTGGTCGACTTTAATTCAATGGCAGACGTGCTGCTTATTAATGAAGATTGTGTAGCTTGTGCAATCATCATTGACGCCAATTCACGTGATGTACAGGAAGGATGTATTAGATTTACAGAACTGGATGAGTCGCCAGAAGAAGATTTAAATATATCTTGAAATGACTTATAACGAGTGTTATTCACAAAAACAACTTCACAATTATTATTTGCATCCAAACAGTCATTTTGCAATCCCATTATTCTGGCTAGTAGAGTGAAATGATGCTGAGAAACATCATTATTTGACAATGGGACTAAATCATGCCATAAAGATAAAGCTAGTTGGAATGGGCTAACACGATTGAAAACATCGTTTGAGTTCGCTGATTGTTTCGATAAGCCCATACGTCGATGACACGATTCGATATTGCTTTTCGAAGTCGCTATTTCAATAGCCGAGAGAACAGATGATATAGTGAAAGAATCGGCAAACAACAATTTATTTTTACATCCAATTGATTTTCGAGAAAATCGATCAATATCTTCAGTTGCCAACATCATATCCAAGGCACGCAGACAACCATGAATATCACCAGCTGAAATGAAATTTGAATAATGAACAAAATAAATAGTTGGATATGCATTCAGCAACAGTTATCATATAAAAAATTAACATTTTTTATCCGTTCATCACAAAAATTTAAACATTCATGATGATACCATATGATGACAAAGTGAAATAGCTCAAAAGCACTACTTCTGGATTTACTGACATTCCTTCTTTATATCTTGGTATTTGGGGTTCAGTACGGGAAAACGATACTTGAGGAATTGGGAATGATTGATTCGCCAAAAAAACTAACTTACTTACAAATGTTACTCCGAATGGAGCATAGGCCGACGACCAGCATTCTCCAACCCACTCTGTCCTGGGCCTTCTTTTCTAATTCCATCCAATTCTTGTTCATCTTTTTCATGTCTATCTCCATTTCTCGGCGCAATGTGTTCTTTGGTCTTCCTCTACTCCTCCTTTGGCCTTGAGGATTCCATGTGAGGGCTTGTCTTGTGACGCAGTTGGATATTTTCCTCAATGTGTGTCCTATCCAATTCCAACGCTTCTTCTTGATTTCTTCTTCCGCTGGGATCTGGTTTGTTCTTTCCCATGGTAGGTTGTTGCTAATAGTGTCCGGCCAACGGATCCGAAGTATTTTTCGTAGACAACTGTTAATGAACACCTGTATGTTCTGGATGATGGCTTTCGTAGTTGTCCAGGTTTCCGCCCCATACAGTAGAACTGTCTTGACATTTGTATTGAAAATTCCGATATTGGTGCTGGTTGACAGACAGTTGTTTTGAGTTGCAGATGTTCCTCAGTTGTAAATATGCTGCTCTTGCTTTGCCGATCCGCGCCTTCAAATCTGCATCAAATCCACCCTGTTCATCAATGATACTGCCCAGATATGTAAAGGTTTTTACATCTTCCAAATCTTCTCCGTCAATTGTGATTGGATTGGTGTATGCTGTGTTGTATCGGAGAATCTTGCTTTTCCCTTTGTGTATATTGAGACCTACTGCTGCTGAGGCTGCTGCTACACTGTTCATCTTCTCCTGCATTTGTTGTTGCGTTTGGGATAGAAGGGTCAGATCATCTGCATCCTAGATGTCCATTGTATCCCGTGCTTCGTTTCAGATGTTGACGTCTTCATGATCCAGTCGATCACCAGAAGAAAGAGAAAGAGTGAGAGTAAGCAACCTTGTCTGACACCGGTCTTTACTTAGAACGACTTTGTCAACTGTCCTCCATGCACGACTTTGCAGTGTCATCCATCATGTGAACTCTGTATGATATTGACTATCTTCTGAGGCACGCCGTAGTGTCGAAGAAGTTTCCATAGTGTTGTTCTGTCCACGCTATCAAATGCCTTTTCGTAGTCAATGAGGTTGATGTAGAGTGATGAATTCCATTCAATTGATTGCTCCACAATGATCCGTAGAGTTGCGATTTGGTCTGTACACGATCTATCCTTACGGAATCCTGCCTGTTGGTCACGAAGTTGGGCGTCTACGCAGTCCTTCATCCTATTTAACAATACTCTGTTGAAGACTTTTTCCGGTATTGAAAGAAGAGTGATACCCCTGTAGTTAACACAGTTGCTGAGATCGCCTTTCTTCGGTATTTTGATCAGAAGTCCTTCTTTCCAGTCTTTTGGTACTTGTTCCTCATCCCAAATCTTATTGAAGGGAATGTGGAGTATCCTTGCAGTTGCCACTACGTCTGCTTTTAGTGCCTCTGCTGGAATGTTGTCTGGTCCTGCTGCTTTGCCACTCTTGATTTGTCTGATGACCTTGCTGATATTTTCAATTGTTGGTGGGCCAACGTTGATTGGGAGGTCCGTGGGTGTTGCTTCTGTATTGGGTGGGTTCAGTGGGGTTGGTCGATTCAAGAGTTCTTTGAAGTGTTCTATCCACCTGTTTCGTTGTTCTTCAATGTTGTTGATTACCTTGCCTTCCCTACTTTTCACTGGTCGTTCAGGTTTACGGCGATTTCAAGAGAGTTTCTTTGTCGTGTCATACAGTTGTCTCACGTTTTCTTCTCTTGCAGCCTTTTCCGCCTTCATTGCTAGATCTTCCACATATTTACGTTTGTCGGTTCTGATGCTCCTCTTTACTTGTTTGTTGACTTCTGTGTATTCAGCTTGTGCCTTGGCTTTTTCTGCTCTTGTTCGACTGGTATTGATTGCTGCCTTCTTGTTCCTTCTTTCTTGAATCTTATCCAGTGTATCGACAGTGATCCATTATTTGTGATGGTGCTTCTTGTGACCCAGGACCTCATGACATGGTGAAGTGATTGCCTCTTTGATCCCCTTCCAGTTGCTCTCCACAGTAGTTCCTTCTCCATTGAGTAGATCATGAAAGGCCTGGAACTTGTTGCTGAGGACTATCTTGAATTTGTTGAGTTTGTTAGTATCCTGAAGAAAGGCCGTATTGAACTTCTGTGATATTGTCCGCCCCATTGTCCAGTGCTTCTTGAGTTTCAATTTCATCTTGGCGACCAGCAAGTGATGATCTGATGCTATATCGGCTCCTCTCTTGGTTCTCACGTCCTCTATAGTCCTCCTGAACGTTTTGTTGATGCAGATATGTTCGATTTGGTTTTGTGTAGTGTGATCCGGTGAAGTCCATGTGGTTTTGTGAATGCGTTTATGTGGGAATATGGTGCCGCCTATGACCAGTTTATTGAAGGCACATAGGTTTGCAAATCTCTCACCATTTTCGTTTCTTTCTCCCAGTCCTTGTCGTCCCATGATGTCTTCATATCCGGTGTTGTCCGTTCTAACCTAGGCATTGAAATCTCCCATCAGAATGGTCAGGTCCTTTGTTTGGCACTTCTCGATGATTGACTGCAGTCTATTGTAGAATTGATCTTTAGCGTCTTCATTGTAATCGTTGGTAGGCGCATAGCATTGGATGACGTTCATTGTAATGTCCTCTTTCTTTGTTTTGAACGAGGCTTTGATGATCCTTGATCCATGAGATTCCCATCCTACAAGCGCATTTTGCGCTTGTTTGGACAGCATCAATGCAACTCCTTGTGTATGTGGGGCATTTTCTTCTTCATGGCCGGAGTATAACAGAAGCTTCCCTGAAGCTGGTCGTTGTTGTTAAACTTGCGTCCAATGTGTTTCACTGATCCCAAGTACCTCTAGGTTGTATCTTCTCATTTCCGCAGCAATTTGGAAGGCTCTACCGGTGTCCCACATTGTACGAACATTTCATGTACCTAAATAAATGGCTGCTCTGGTTATCAGAAGGGTCATCGGCCTCGTAAATTCCGAAGGAAATCGGCTTTTATCATGAGGCGTCATAGTTCTAAATGAAGACCTTCTGACTCCCAGGGTAGAGTTTAAAAGGTTTGAATAATTTTTTCTAGTTAGCATTTTTTAGCGAGTTAGTTTTCTACGGGATGGGGACGCTAACACCATGACCAACCCTCCTCCTTTATCCTGGCTTGGGACCGACAGTAGCCTCCGGAGGGACTCTAGGCGGAGTTTCGCTCCAATACGACCGGTTCTATTTCGTAAATTGATAACGGCGACTAACACACAACATACCAGTACCTGGCTACCAACACAAAGAGAAGATAAATTCTGAGAAAACGTGATATCCGAAGTTGAAAATCCAGAACAAAATGAATGCCACAACTCCCTAGATAATACGCTAACGGGAACATGACCTTCAAGCACACAGAAATTCAGTAAACTAAAGCATCGGCAACCAGTCAGTTACAAAGAAGCAAAGGTCATGTGGAAAATTTAGTCAGCAAAATATCACTGGCAGTTACCGTCCCCAGTATTGTTAACAGAACTTCAATAGCCCTGTGGTCGTTTCACCACCTACACCTTCTCAAAGTCCATACATTACATTTAAAAGATTAGTATGAAGAAGACAAGAAACAAACAAACATGTCGAAAATAGCTTACAAAACTAAAATGCAGCTTACGACCATGATAAAGTAACAGATTAGAAGTATCGCTTCAGAACACAGAGAACAACAATGAACTGAGAAATTCCAAACGTCTGGACTATACACACATATTTTACCCAGGTTCCTTTGGAACCAGTTCGTTCGATAACTAGGTTTATCAGAAACAATCATCAGTCACGTCCAGGATGGTTTGATATTGAATGACCAAATCACTCAGCCAATGGGGATACATACTCCCCGAGTATCTGCTCTAGTTTCAGTCCCTAGAATAACACCCTCAGAACACACAGTGTGACCACGTCAAGACATGGTCCACAACACTAACTGCAGGATAACACCAGTCAAGTGTTAATCAGTTTAAGCAATCAACACTTTTAGTTCCCAAGACAGAAAGTTAATGGTTCAGTTGTGATCAGTATTTGCCATACTCTAAGTGTAAGGGATGATTATATTGCCTGGTTCCCGAGACCGGAGCAGGTAGGAAGGGGCTCAAACATGGAACTTAATGGCAGAAATTACAATGTTTCAACACACTTCAAATTAAGTTAGTTAACTTCACATTTTATCCAACTTCAATGTTAATATTTCTATATCAGTCAGTCAGCTACAACGTAGGACCAGGCAAATATATGCATCGGTCCAGGTTGCCATACCGCATCAACACAACAAGATGAACACCAGATTCATAACAGTGGTTAGGTATAAGGTGGTAATATATAGGAGAAAGATTGCATATAAGGATACAGTACCGGAATATAGAATTAGTTCGTAGAAAGAAAGATATGAAGCGATTTTAATCACTTAGTTTAGGGGAAGACAAAGAGTGTATACACCGACGCCATTGTGATCGATTCAGGGCCATGGCACCCACAGTCTTCAACCATTGGTTACGATAGTCACGCGGACCCCAAACAAGTAGTCTGCATCCACCAACATGGCTCAAACTAGAAGTTAGTGACTTCAAGCACTGATGTCACGTTTTGGTTTGGCCGTCCCTAACTCTCTCCCATTCATCTCCAATACTGGTGAGCATTGCACGTCGTGGTAATCGGTGTTCAGGCATACGTAACATGTGACCCAACCATCTCACTCGATGAAGATTAACAACCTCATCAACTGATTTACCATCATTACCTAATACCCTGCGTCTAACCTCACTATTACTTACCCGGTTATCCCAACAGACGCCAGCAATATTTCTAAGGCATCTGTGGTCAAATACTAGTAGATTACGAGCGTCTTCTATTCTTAAAGGCCATGTTTCGCTGCCGTAAAGTAAAACAGAACGGACTGCCACACAGTATACTCGTCCTTTTATTGATAGACGGATATCTCGCCTTCGCCAAAGGTAACGTAAGTTGGCAAAAGCCAAACGAGCTTTTCGAATCCGTGCTGAGATTTCGGCCGATACCAGCCCATTAGGGCTGATCAGACTTCCAAAATAAGTGAAGTTGTCAACGCGTTCGACCACTTCACTTCCTATCCTTAGTTCAGGTGTTGACGCAGGCCAGTCCTGAAGCAACAACTTGCATTTAGAGGGAGAGAAGCGCATTCCAAACATCCTGGCATTGTTGCTCAGTGCTTCCAGAAGACTCTGCATTTTGTCAGCGTCTTCACCAAACAGGACTATGTCATCTGCGTATTCTAAGTCGATAAGTGGATCTCCTGGTAGGAGATCAATACCCGAGAACTCAGTCGACGAGAAAGTTATTTCCATCAGTAGATCTATGATGAAGTTAAACAAAAATGGGGAAAGTGGACATCCTTGACGGACACCACTTGAGGTTGCAAAACTAGATGACAGTTCGCCATAAGCTCTCACTCGACTAGTAGTGTTCGAGTAAAGAGCCTTTACAAGGTTTATGTACTTCTGGGGTACGCCTTTCAATGACAGACACTGCCACAGAATCTCGCGGTCTACCGAGTCAAATGCTGCTTTTAAGTCAAGAAAGACCACCATCGTCGGACGCCTATAAGTATGCCTGTGTTCTAGAACCTGACGAATGGTGAATATGTGGTCGATGCAGCCACGACCAGGTCTGAAGCCAGCTTGGTTTTCTCGTGTTTGCAGTTCACGAGTTTTAGTTAGGCGTCTGATTATTATTGAGGCTAGTATTTTAGATACTATATTTGTTAAACTAATCCTTCTGTGGTTGTCACAAGATGATTTTGACCCTTTCTTATATATTGGGACGATAAGTGATTGTGACCAGTCAGATGGAATAACATCTAACTCCCAGATCTTAGCTAAAATATTAGTCAACCTAACCGCTAAAATTGGACCACCATCCTTAAAGACATCTGCCCCTCCTCGTTTCAGATTAACTATAGCCTTTTGAACTTCTGCTAGAGTTGGGGGACCTACTTCAATGTTCCATTAACACTGTCTGGGAATGGACGGTAGTTGTCGAGTCGCTGAAGGAAAGCTGAACTGTTCCCTAAAGTGTTCCGCCCATCGTTCTAAACGTCAGGACAGGGAGTAGATGAGAGTGTCGCCTTTTTCCGAAATGATCTCACTTACGCTTGACTTATAAGTTCCAGTTTCTTTTATTAGTCTGTAGAGCTGTCTTGTGTTCCCTATAGCCGCCGCCTTTTGCATCTCTTTTGCTTTCGTTGCCCACCACTGCTCACGGTCGTTTCTTAAACTTTTTCTTAACCTAGATCTGATTTGTTGTCGCTCTTCATCATGTTCGGAACCTGATGGGACGAGTTTGCGAGAATCCATCAGTGTGATAGACTTTGAAGAAATCCACTGGTTCTTTGTAACTCTGTGGTTTAAGTCGTTGATAGATGTCACTGCTGTTTCCACAGCTGCTTGTATGTTTTTCCAAGCAACATCTGGGTCAGCCTCGATATTTCTATATCACATTTAACTCAAACAAAAATAAACTACATACCTTTGGCAAGAGCCAAAATAAGTGTATTGTATGTAAATTGATTCATTGGGATATTTCTTTCCATTAAACGACGCCAAAAAAGATACACTTTATGAAGTGCAGGTCCACCAAAGTTATCTGGCGACATGTCTGGAGCCAACGCTTTCTGAAGAGCCAGCCTATGTAATAAAAATAATAAATAGACACAGTTGTAGGGATATTGAATAATTCATTTCTTATCTCATGTCCAGTTAATGTTAATAAAGAAAGCTCAAGGAAGTAAAATCTTATTTGGCACCAATATAAAAATGAAAATCTGGACGGTGTTGTGACGGTGATAGAAGTTCAAATAATTGACTTTATCACAGTCAAGACGTGAAATTGTAAACCATATATATAAAATAAAAGACACGATATATTGGATATTTTAAACAAAATAAATCAAGAAATATCTCCAAGCACAAAGAGAGAGTTTTACACCATTCCTTCAATAGGAATACAACTAATTGTTAGCCATTATCTATAATTTCTCGAAATATTTTCTAGAAACCGCAAAACCAAACGACACTGATATCGAACAAAACATTCAAAAAGACATCAACCCAAAACTCATATATAAAGAGCAACTGTAATGTTTAGCAGCTATGATTCACATAATCGCTGAAAATATACTTCACAACAGGTTAATGGGCATAGTGTCCGAGTGCAGCTCGACAATGCTTGAAATTTCATACTTACTAGGATGGGAAAAACATCCTAAAAGCATTGGGGAATGAAACGCTGTCGAAAACCGGTTGCAAAGTTCATGGGAGATCCCAACAAACATCTATATTCATACATCGTTTTCAAATATAGGTGTCAGGAGTCACCATAACCACTAGGAAAATTCTCTAAAGCTAAAAGTCTACGAGTCCCGATAACTACTACGTCGAAACATTTCACTCGGAATATTAACAATCAACCACACAATAACCACCAAATGTTTCCCAGGAATACTGTTTAAAATATCTTGTTTGTTCTTCATGTTCACAATCTCTATTCTTAAATTTCTTAAACAAGTCTACCGTTCACATTCATCGCAAACGAATGTCGCTTTTCCTTCGTGACTTAATTACTTCACATTTCAGTGTAATTTGTCTTATATTTTCTAAGGTCACTACATACAAACGAGTTGTGTAGTAATATCAACTCCTATACAAATAGTAAACTCTCTCCTGTAAAAGACCAATTTCATTCATCTTATTTCCTACGTGCGTTATTAACAGATGAAGTATTATATATAAATAATATATTTGATATCCCAATGAGTAGAAAAATTACATTTACTGACGTTTCGTGACTTAGTCTAAACCACTTCCTCAGAGAATCAAAAAAGTGGCTTACACTAAGTCACGAAACGTCAGAAAACCTCATTTTTCTACTCATTGAGATATTACAAATATATTATTTATTTATAACAATCTACCCAATACTCAATTTATTCGAAAATATCAAATCAAACCTTGGTAATGATACCTACAGATGAAGCATTGCTGTTGTCACTCATAAATAAGTGTTGCATCCCAATTTATCATCAGACCAAATCAAACTACAACAAGTTCCCTTTTAACTTTACTTAATTAACTGCCTCATCTCTTGGAACGTGGAGATTCAGTTCAATAAAACACAAATAAGTGAACAGAAAAACCAATATAAGGCAAATCAACGAGTAGTAAAGGTATACATAGTTGGATTTGAATCGACAACTGCATCTCTGTGCTAATGTGGTATGGCAACTCGGACTGATGTACGTACGTACGAAATTCTACACTGTTACTGACTGACATAGTTGGACTGAGTCGTTATTTCTTCAACGAAAAAGGCATTTATACATCATTATGATTCCCATGCAAAATACAACTTACATTTTACGCTGTAATAACGATGAATGGTTCTCAGTACGATTTACAACAGGTGGCATAAAAGTTCTATTCTTTCGAAACCATGTTGCAATATCCTCAGCGCAAGCGCTAAACAATAAATTCATCATAATTAAATAAATCACATATATCGATGTGTCAGCAAATAGAAACTAAAACATATAGGGTGCACTATTTACTAATTTAGTAAAATCTATAGGAGATGAATTTTAAAAAACGCTGAGACTCAAATTTCCTATACTCAGAACATTATCTAGTCATGTAAGTTATAAGTGTAAGAAAATACTATTGTCTGTTCGAGAGGACGATAACCTACCTAAAACATCATTTACGAAGTACATATTTATGCACTCAGTTTCGAGCCATACTGTTTGTATGAAACCTGGTCACAGTAAACATGTACTCAAAGACAAGTAGTTGAGGTGAGTGTTAGAACCCGCTCCAATTACACGGACTATATATAATCAATAGTAAGCATTTGTGTTTTCATATGGTTGATACACAAAACTGGAATGAGTAATATCAATTTTCGTACAGGATTCTTGAAGATAATGCTTATCAAAAAACGGGTATCCTTCGATATTTATTGACAAGAATATAAAACCTAAATAGTCTGAAGCACAAATAACCTTGGTTCAAAAGAAAACGCTTTACATGAACATCGATTTCAAGGGTAATAGAGTAATAAACGTCCTAAAAAGGAGAATTTCCGATTCTCTAAAAAGAACGTTCTTCGTGGCAACTTTTCTAATAGTGTTCTACAACCGACCAATGTTCATCAGTAATTTTAAAGATAAATTATCTCATCTGACCAACTCCATGTGGGTTTATCAATTTATCTGTTCATGTGGAACCAGGTAATATAGGTCGTACAATACTTACTTTATCCCAAAGAATTCAAGAATATTACTCGGCTTGACTATAAAGAGGAGGGAACGGGTCAACAAGAAGCTCAATAATCGAACACCGTGTGAACACAGGTCACTCAATCAAAGTGGACTCTACATTTAAAGTCATATATACAAGGTAAGTAGAAGGCTTCTAAAGACAGTTACATTGCATCTTATTAACATTGCCGAAGCAATAGATGGAAAAGCCAGAATTATGCGGCCCAACAGAAATTGGTACAACCCCTTCTTCTATTATGGTCTTAATGTCTCACAATTTTATTTCTTCTTCATACGTTTTTTCCTTCACCGCCATCTGATTCCCTTTCTATTTTCTCTATACACCTTTTAACCCCAGCTGATTCATTTCTGTTTCAATGATCATCCTGATTACATTTTATCTTATCATGCTGAACCTCCCTTTCCCAATTATAACTTCTCTATTTATTTTCATAATGAATATTCAAAGCCTTAACAATAAAACCACAAAACTATTTGCTGATAATAATCATCATATGCTCAAGAGTTATTTCCTGGAGTTCTATTGAGAAGCAGTGACCAGTGAAGTTCAACCAGGTCTGTTGTCAGATAGTAACTCACTGAAGACAATGGTGAATGTGTAGCTCAATTTCATGGATTGGTTGAAGTTAGACATTAGGACTGTTGGATGCAGGCTCAGTGGTCTATAAGTTAAGTGTTCCCGCGCGAGACGGCATCGTCGATGCTTACTACTGAGAAATCCCACAATAGGGCGAAATGGCCGTCCAGTGCTTTCAGGTTTTCCATGGTAGTCGAGCTTCAATTAACTCATGAACTCAACTATTAAACTACTAAAATATCCACAAAACGCTTTTCTGATAATATTATCAGTTTCCCCGATAAAAATAACGCTTCAATACTTGTGTTTATTCTACCTCACTGTTACCATATTTAATGAAATTTTATTATCACCATTATTGCAACTATTATCATCTTCAAAATTAAGTATATATATATATATATATATATATATATATATATATATATATATATATATATATATATATATATATATATATATATATATATATATATATATATGCATGCGTAATTGTACAGCTGTGAAAATGAATTCACCGAAAAGAGAACGCTGCTGAGACTATCTTTCTTACTCAATGTTGAGGTGACACGACTTAAAATAAAACAATGAATAGATGCTAGTAAATTGAAAGATTTCAAGTAGTTACTAGTTTTCTTTTTAAATACAATTATCACATCAACAATCTTACCAAACAAAACAACTAACAGCATTCACATTTACTGGGAATCCTTCAAACTAACCGAAACAGACGTGAGTAAGTTGCCTGGGTTGCATCGATACCCAATTCAGTCATCTTTTTATAGACGCGAAATGCATTCTCACTGTCTCCAACTCTGGCCAAACCATCCAGAACCATATGAGCATGAAATCTTGATGGGAGAACACGATCCTTTTCCAACATTTCAGAGAAAAATACCTACAGGAAACATTTCAATCCCGATATAAAAACGTCCAGAAATATGTGCAAGTGTGAAATAGCAAAGTAAAGCATCCCATGGTTGCAAACTATTATTTAAGGTTCAATAAAAGTTAATTTTATGAGATATGGGGTTTAGCGATTAGTGCTTGATCTTAAACCGTTAAACTGGAGTATCCAAACCCAAATTCGGTTCTCAAAGCCACCTAGAAAATCACAGGTCACCATATGAACAGTGTAGCTCGAGTTCGCCTGAACAAGACCCCATTCAGTTAATGAATAACAGTTCAAAGCACTTCTCAACTCACATAAAAAGTCAGTATTATTTATGTTGATGCAGGAAAATATAACAATTCAAATGGTAGACCAATGTAAGAAAACATTAACAACGAAAAATGGAAGAGAATAAATTCTTACGGATAATGCTGAATTTGTATCACCTGCTTTACAATAACGTTTTATTAATTCACAATAATGTTCATGAGGATGACGACGATAAACATTACTTAATCTTAAACAGTCAACAGGATCTTCTTCAACTTCATCAGTACTCAACAGTTCATCGATAACAGATTCTATTGCTTCCCTTTCTCCAGAAATAACTGACTCATTATATGGTTGTTGACAAACATTATCTATTTAAAAGAAAAAAAGGAACAAATAATCACTTTAGTAGACTTGCTAAGGAATGGGAGAGTCATGACCAATGCGTGTACTGATCACAATCGAAACGAAAAGATTCTGAATAATTTTTATAAAGATTCTAAATATAATCTAATGTTTTCACTAATGAATTCTTGTTGTTTCGACTTATCTGAATATGTATTGTTCCTTTTTATTTCTTGATGTCACTTAGGAACAGTCGAGTGAAATATCGTATACAGAGAATACGACACAGTAGGATAAAACAACTCCATTTACTAATTATCCAGCTATTAGGAACTGTTGGTTTCCAGTCCGACTTTCCCAACTCCTCTAAATGCACTCTCCTTATCCACAGTTTTGTCAGTCAGTCAGCTACAACGTACGATCAGGCACATATGTGCATTGGTTCAAGTTGCCACACCTCATCAGCATAACAAAATGAACACCAAATTCATCGAAGTAGTCACTTCAATGGTAGTAATAAATAAAAGAAAGATTGTATATAAACATAATATACATATAATACACCGACGCCATTGTGATCGATTCAGGGCCATGTCACCCACAGTCTCCAACCATTGGTTACGATAGTCACGCGGACCCCAAACAAGTAGTCTGCATCCACCAACATGGCTCAAACTAGAAGTTAGTGACTTCAAGCACTGATGTCACGTTTTGGTTTGGCCGTCCCTAACTCTCTCCCATTCATCTCCAATACTGGTGAGCATTACGCGTCGTAGTGATCGGTGTTCAGGCATACGCAACATGTGACCCAAACATCTCACTCAATGAAGATTTACAACCTCATCAACTGATTTACCATCATTCTCTAATACCCTGAGTTTAACCTCACTATTACCTACCCCGTGATCCCAGCGGATGCGAGCAGTATTTCTAAAATATCTATGATCAAATACTAACAATTTACGAGTATCTTCTACTCTTGATGATCACGTTTCGCAGCCGTCGCTCGGTGCTACCATTTTATCAGCGTCTTCACCAAACCATTTAGTATGGTTAACTTGTACAAAAGTGACAGTAGAACAAGTCTACACCTGCTTTATAGAATTAAGCATGAAGAAAGGTTCAAACTCATCACAAAGTAGTCTGACCCTAAATTCTGCACCACCAAATCACATTTTGACTTATGTAACGACTAAACCACTGTCACAACACAAACATCTTCCACCCCACACACCAATATTGGCATCTTTACAGTTCACCTTTTACAATACAGAAATAACACTGGCAGCATTCTTGCAAAATATCACAAAAACAACGCATATTTAGTCACCCACCCGCACTAAGAGCACCAAAATCCAACTGATCATTTTCCGATATGACGTTCAAATCCTCTTCTGAATCACATCTTTCCAGACTATTCACGTACAAAGATTTTTCAGGCTCTTGTGGCTTTATATATTTGTGAATTTTGGCTTTTTGGTTAACCACTTCCACAAGATCACGAGTAGATAAATTGACCTTGTAGTGTGATTGGGAACGTCTCCACAACAAAAGGCTACAAGCAGTGATCGGTTGAATTCTACTATGATAAAGCTTTAACACAGTTAGAACTCTAGATAAAAACATACCGATGATTTCAGTAGATTACAAAGTTTGGAGCAACCGATGATCATTATCGACACTAGAATCACTAGATACCAAAGTAGAAATCAACAGATACATTGATGCATATTGTGCAGTAGCCAAAACAAAAATAAAACTTAACAACACTTAATTGAACTAACTATTACGAAAACTACGCGGAAATATAACAGATGAGCTTGTCAATTAATCCTCCATCTCACAGATATTTTGATAACAGAAGTGAAACGGCTAGCATCAAATGAGGTCACTCTCTGATAGATATCCCATCATAGAACAGTTCAGTGAGGGAATCGAACCTATCCTCTATAACGTAAACTATTCACACAAATATGTAGTTAGTGTTTTGATACCGAGTCTATCAACTCAATAACATGACAAGAAGTGACTGCATAACTTACACAATTCTGGTCATCACATAATCATTTTCACTCTATTGTACAAGGTAATGGTCAGCAATATACTGGAACTAGCTCACATTTCATACTTCATTTAAAACTTTAATATACAATATTGCAGTATGTAAAACTTAGCCGAACTTCCATGAACAGAACCAGCATGTCTAAGGGCAGTGGTCGAACATTTGGAAAGTAAAAATTCGTCACAGAGGCTCAATTACATCTAGTACTTATCATCTTCAGCCCACAACATCTAAAAATCTTAAACATTTGCTTTTGAACATGCTCCTAAATTCCACCTCTTCAGTCCGATAGATATGATTATTTTATATTACTTTAGATAATCACCAAGTTTTCTAGATATTCGTTTCAGCATTAAATAAGACCTAAAGGGGAAACGTTAAATTCGCTCAACCAAATTAAAACCCATTTAAAATATAGGCATGTACATTGATCCCAAAGTTGATGTTCACTACAGGACTGGAATCCAGTGTCGTTCGCTTCAAACGCCACCGCATTATACACTTAGTTGATGAAGACAGATAGTCACTAGATTGTACGATTGAGTTCAAGATTCAAACATCTGATACAAAATTAATTAAAATTTACCGCACTGCACAAGTCAGTGGCAATCTGGACTAACTGGCTACGTGGATAAAGCGAAGGAGTTTGAAACGGCACTAGCTTTCAATCGCGTAGTGAACATTAACGCTGGGATGCACGTACATCCAGCTGACGAGTCCCGAACAGAACGAAACGCGCGTTCTGGATTCCACTGCTAGCCACCATAGATCTCTGCTTGTAATATACACCTTGGGTGAAAAACGTTGATCAAAACTCATAAGAATGATCAAATATTCAAGTCATGTAGAAACAAAAGAGACAGGACAGAGAGTGTATTCAGATAGATCAGCGGTAAAGGGTCAGTAGCAAGCTAATACATGACTCATTTAAGCCATAGTAATTAATATTAGGCCATATCGCAGAAAATCATTTTTCAAATGACAAGATTAAATGGCCTAATTAATACGCCCGTGGTTTAGTAGTGGTTAACACTAAGATTTCAACCAACCTGTTGCAAGCTTGACACCTATTTCTGTTCGGACGACCGACCACTCTCATTTCAACATTCACATAAAACTTAAAATTCAGCAAACCTGTACCTCACAACCGAATTACTTTTATACACATGCTTGGACGAATAATTGGTCTCAGTAACATTCTAATCACTCCATACAATTATAAATTCATATTGCAAATCTACAACACTGACTCAGTTAAGTCAACACTTGTATGCATATACCTGAAACTAGGTATCGTAAAACAATAAAACCATGGATTTATCACTGTAGGATCAAACGAGAAATTCACCGTAAACTAATCATTCGCTCTAAATACTCTTCCTTTCTAAAACACAAGATAGTAAATGCACAATAAACACACAGTTCAACTGCTCTGTCAGTAGGTTTTAAACAACCAAAAAGGATAACTCATAAATCTTCATTGATTCATGTTGTCATACCTCGCATCAACACACTTGGAAGAACAAATTCCCAATATCATAAAAATAATGTCAACAAACATTCTCAAAATAGTCAGCAACAATCACATAAACATGTAGATAAAAACATATCAAAACAAGTACAGTTTACTTTCAAAACAATTGTATCTACAAATACAGATTATTGTGCACAACAATTCCAGCAAATAGCTACATTGCTTCCCCATATATCTAAATATATACATATATATGCATAAATACATTAACAAGGTTTCGCCACAGGACTTTCACGCAGCCAAGATTTATAGATCTTATAAAATCTATAAAATGAACGAACAGCATTTGGATAGACATGAAATCCACCAGTTTTTGATTCTTGAACAGGTGAACCATCTACCGTAATAAGGAAAAAATAAGGTAGAAATCATTATTAGTATGGATGCTTTTGGAGATTGTTCAAATTAGAAAATAGACAAAACATCACAAACTGATTTTAGATAAACAACAACCGTTGAAGATTAAACAGCATCTGACAGATACTTTCACAGTATGTGCCTCGTCAGTCAGTAGTCGACACTTGCAACCGACCCGCCAATTGAGGCTGGCACTTACAAGTCTCACAACAAACATACTACCTTCCGACCACTATCGAGTTCTCATACATTCTTCTTCATTACCGATTTATGTCAATTCGTGACATCACGTGAATATCATTCAACCACATAATTATACCAATCTTTCACAGCAGTCGTACCTCACTAGTCACATATTCTCACTAAAACTTCGAAATTCTTTCACTAAATGTCCGAAGTCTTGCTACTATCAAGAAAAAAGTCATTTCAGACTACCTTCTACTAAGATTAACAAAATTATTAAAGAAAATCTATCACTAAAAACTGTTACTCATTTGAGCATGTTTCGATCTCTGAGCTGCATTGTATAGCATTAATTGTCCTTCTCAACAACATCATCGGCACATGCTTCGATAAAGAATCTTTCAAAACAAGAAAGGATGGAATCAATGAATGTTATCCAGTGTTATACACCCACCAAGGATAGCAATGACGATGATAAAGATCAGCTCTACCAGAGACTGCAATCGATCATAGCGAAGTGCTCAGGAAACGACCTGACCATCGTGATGGGAGATCTAAACGCCAAAGTCGGAATGGACAACATCGGACATGAAGATATCATGCGACAACATGGACTGGGACCCCAAATTCCCTGGTGCGGTCGAGGGTGGGGAGAGTCAACCCTCCCTTCTACTCACTGCCTTCTTACACCGGGGTTGTTGGTAATGAGAATGGGATTGTGGAGATCGAATGTCGGGCACTTTAACCGGATTGGTGGATATGAGGGATCCAAATAGAGAGTTGAAAAACCCTGATTCCATACCAATCGTGCGCATGGTCTCAAGGATCCTGAGGGAACAAAGTGGCATATGAACCTACCGCCGGTCACTGCCTACCATGGAACTGCATCTCATCACGTCGCTCTACTACCCTGTGGATTAAACCTCTACATCAAAGGCTGATGATGTAGCCCTCTAAGAAAGCCACCTGCTTCAGTTTGGGCGCTCGTACAGTATTCCAGACCTAATGAAAATCGGATAATTTCTGTGGTGCATACGTACTTAGTGTCGCATTTTACCAGTGTTTCCGTGTTTAAATAAATCAATACCTGGACTGAGAGAAAGGAACGAGAATGGTGACAGGTTTTCAAATTTGTGTGCATTCAACAAACTGGTGATAGGTGGCACAATATTCAACAAAAATATACACGCAAAACTACATGGACCTCACCAGATCACAATACACAGAACCAGATAGCTCAGATTTGCTTTACTAAAAAATGCAGAATTTCAATTAAAAAAAGTGAGAACCAAGAGAGGAGCTTACACAGACGGCTAGCAAATAACTCAGATTCAAGAACAGAGGAACAGATTAGTAGAACACTTCGTGAAACTCTTAAATTGACCAGCTCCGTAGAATCCTTCGGATATCGAAGCAGCACACACAGACCTTCCTATAACTGTCATTACACCAACGACGGAAGAAATCAAGATAACCATCAGACAAATGAACATTGGGAAAGCACTGGGAGCTGACAATATACTAGCTGAAGCACTAAAATCAAACATAGAACCAACTGCAAACACGCTCCACGTTCTATTCAGGAAGATTTGGGAGGAAGAACAAGTGCCGATAGACTGGAAAGAAGGACACCTCATCAAGATACTAGAGAAAAAAGATCTGAGCGAAAGTGAGAACTACGGAGACACCACACTACTATCGGTACCAGGAAAGGTTTTCAAAAACGTGTTGCTGAACCGGATGGAAGATGCAGTAGACGCACGACTTCCAGATCAACAGGTCGGATTCCGTAAGGATCGACCGTGTACAAACCAAATAGCGACACTACGGAGCATTGTCTAACAGTCAATTGAATGGAACTCGTCACTATGCACAAACTTCCTTGATTATGATAAAGTATTTGACAGTATGGATAGGAGAATATTATAGAAACTTATTTGAGATTGATCACCGCCCACTGATCAATCAATTGTAATACATCTCAGTCCTACAGAATATCAGTCGCGGCCCGGATAGCTCACTGGTAATGTCTGTGACTGTTAAGCTGTGTGACATGGGATCGAGTCCGTCAGGACGCATTAGTTCCATCAAGATTAAAGGTACACCTTGCTGACGAGTGCCAAACAACACGAAACTAAGGTGCAGGATTTCCTGTGACTACATCCAACCACCATCTTAACAAACCAGCTCCCAACTGAAGAGGAAACTAACAAAAGACTCTGCAGGTGGATAGGAAATGCACTGCGAAATTCGTCAAACTGCATCACAAGGCAAGCGCCAACTTGGAATACTGAAAAGAAAAGGAAGATAGGAAGACTAAAGAACACACTGCGTTGGCAATGTGAAGCACACATCGAAAGAATGGATAAGAATTGGTAACAACTGGAAAGGATTGCCCAGGACAGAGTTCGAAGAAAAAATCTGATAGATGGTCTATGCTCCTCCACGAACTGTAACTACGTAATGATCATGCATTGATAATAATTATTAAGGAAAATTTACAGTGACTTAGTCAAAGTTATTTCGCGTGGTCTTGATGATCGGTCGTTAAAAATGCAAATGTAAACAGCTAGATGTGAGTTTCCGCGAGTGTTTTAAAAGTCTCATAACTCTAAATAGCATGTTCAGCAAAGCGGATTCTGTGAGGACGGTCCACGGGTGAACTCTATGAAGCTCAGAAAGAGCCAAGGATATTCCATCCAATCAGCTTCTGAAAGAATATTCCAAAATCACTATGTGTAGCTCCCCTACTGGACAATGCTAATATCCCCTGTGTGCCGATTGGACAACTATAAAGATGATCAGTCAGTCAGTCAGCTACAACGTAGGACTAGGTACATATATGTATCGGTCCAAGTTGCCACACCTCATTAACGCAACAAGATGGATACCGGATTCATAAAAGTAGTTAATTCAGAGGTGGTAATATATAAAAGAAAGATTGAAATAAGGATATAGTACAGGACGAAAGAATTAGTTCGTAGAAAAAAAGATATGAAGCGATTTCAATCTCATAGTTTAAGAGAAGACAAAGAGTGTATACACCGACGCCATTGTGATCGATTCTGAGCCATGTCACCCACAGTCTCCAACCATTGGTTACGATAGTCACACGGACCCCAAACAAGTAGTCTGCATCTACCAACATGGCTCAGACTAGCAGTTAGTGACTTCAA